GTTGCCTTCCTGATTCCCATCATCGCCGACGGCTTAGTGCGCTTTCTCTTTAAATGAGGACGTCCCCTACAGAGCCACGGCACACCATCAAGATAAAGACAGTGACACCGATACATCACTGCCAGGCCGTCCTCACACTCCATTCAAGTTTGCCAATTGTCCCCATAAACCCAACGTAGCGAAAGCATCCGGTCCGTGTCACATGTTGTATTTGTTGCGTCACTTTAATCTCCTTTAGTAAGGACTAGGTCATTCATGGCCTGGGCTCCTCTCAAGATTATAGGCCAGTTTTTTTTTTCTTCCCCAATAATAGCTTTATTAAGTTATAATTCAACAACCATAAAATTTGGTACAATTCAATGGTGTTTAGTATTGTCACATAGTCGGGCAACTATCACAGCTAATTTTAGAACCTTTCCATCATCTTAAAAGGAAGCCCGTCTGCATTAGCTGTCACCCTCAGCCCCTGGCCACCACTTGTCTACTTCCTGTCTCTGGCTTTGCCACATCCGGACATTTCAGATAAATGGAATCATATATGAATGACCAGTTGTTTCCTAAAATGTCCCTGAATTGAAGTTCGGCTGACGTTTCCTTGTGACCAGATTCTGATCACGCATCACTGGTAGGAACATTGCGGATGTGACGCTGTGTTCTCAGAACACTGTATCGGGGGTGCACAATTTTAATTTGTCCCGTGATGCATGGTCTCTTTTATTTCTTGATTAAGGTGGCATCTGCCAGCCTCTTCTGCTGTGAAGTTGTTTCTTTCCCTTTGTAATTAGTAAGTATTTTGCGAGAAGGTACTTTGAAACTATGTAAATATCCTGTTCCTCATCAAACTTTCAATTTATTCACTTGTTGACTGTTATCAGTATGGACATATAGAAAAGTCCTACTTTATTCAGTGGGTTAAAAATCTGTTGCTATCATTGTGTATTTTGATGGTCATATTGTCCCAGATGTGGCCAGTCCTGTAAAAGCTGATTTGTGCTGGCTTCAGTGTCTTTTTGATGTGTCCCCATTATTTCTTGAGCACTTCCTTGTGTTCTGGCATGAAATATTGTACGTTATCTTGTATTCCTGGCCCTGGACTCAGCCATTTCTTTAAGAAGCCCTGGTTCATTTTATTGAAGACTAACATTTAGAAGCTAAAGCATAGATGGCATTTAGCACTTCCCAAAATTGAAAATAAATGTTAATTAGTAGCAACAGTTTAAACCCAGGTGCCAACAATTGAACAAAATTACAGGAGATGAAGGAGATGAGGAAATAGTGCTCTGAGTTGGAATGAAGCACAGACCCCTTCCTAGTGGTGGGGAGGGCAGCTCTCTTGCTGGAGACATTTGTATGACAAATTCTGAAGTCCTAGGTGTTGCAGACCAAGGGGGTCAACAGAAGAAAAGACCAGGAGAGCCACGTGGGTGGCTGGATGAGGCTGGCCCAGGACCGGCAGCTCCCAAGCCACTAAGGCGAGGGTCAGGTGCAATGGAGAGATGGCAAACCCGGAGCTCGGCGCGAGGGGCCACAACACCGGGAAACTGCAGAGCGGGCCTGGGCGGACTTAGAGGAAGGGCACCGCACTGCTCTAGCCACAGCCGCAGCCTCACGATCGTTTAGCAGAGAAATTCTGTTCAGAATTTCAACAGGGGAAAACCCGAGCATGCAAAGTAGCTTCCTACAGATGAAAGAGCCCTGGAGGATGGAAGACAACCAAAGGCAGGTGGAGGGATGGGAGAGGAAGCAGGGAAGAGACTGGGAGAGAAAGAGAGAGAAAGAAAGAGGGAGAGGAGGGAGGAAGAGAATGACCAGGCAGCTGCAGTGAAGGAACATGCCAGACCCGTGAAAGAAGCCGTCTAGAATGTTCTAGTCCCATGAAACACTGGCCATGTGAGCAGGTGGTATTATTATCATCTGAGCCATGAAGAAATTCGTGACTGGGGAGGCTAAGTGGCTTGTTTGGGGTCTTTAGATTTTGAGATTCTTCTCAAGATATCCATAAAGTTACCTTTTTCTGCCAAATGCCACCTTACTAGAGGAAATTTGCTGCGTTCTACCCCTTACTCTGTGTGTGTGCGTGTGTGTGTGTGTGTGTGTACCGAGATATTTTAAGCAATTGACCCACGCCATTATAGGGCCTGGTAAGTCCAAAATTTGTAGGGCTGACCAGCAGGCTAGAAAGTCAGGCAGGAATTGATGCTGCAATCTTGAGGCAAAATTCCTTCTTCTCCAGGAAACATTTAATTTTTGCTCTTAAGGCCTTCACCTGATTGGATGAGGCCCACTGACATTATCGAGGATAATCTCCTTTACTTAAGTCAACTGTCTATAGATGTTAAGCATGTCTACAAAACACCCTCATAGCAACACCTGCATCGGTGCTGATTAACTGGCTACTACAGACCAGCCAGGTTGGCACGTAAGACTACAGCACGACTGTTCTGCCCAGGGCTGAAAATAACTCACTAGAATTATCAAAATGAGCTTTGCCATGCAGTAAACATCTAGGGAGTCCCCACTCCCTGCTCGAGCTTGGGACACTGCATGGAGCCCATGACACAATTTGGGAGGAGCCGTGGCCTCTCCGTGTGGTGGGAGATAAACAGCCAGTTTTAGCTTATTGGGGTGCAAAGGGTTGCAAGCCCTACTACAGGCTGCCTGTTTTTCTGAGCCATTGTCAACAAAACAGTAGATGTTTAACTAATTCTGAAAAGGCAGATTGCCAAAAAAGTAGTAAAAGTTCTCAAACAGACTTTTAAAAGTAAGCAAAATATTAAAAAGTAATTAGAGAGAGAACTAAAAAGCAAAAGCTAAAATCCATTAAACCAACAAAGACTTCCGTGAACATGAAACAAAGTCCAATATCATAAAAGAATCCAGAGCAGAAGATAATGAAATCTGCAAGGAATGTAAAAGATCAAATCTTTACATGAAAGAATAATCTACAAATTGATTAAAAAATAATTTCTTTAAATACTGGGAAGCAATCTTCAAGCACCAACGGTGGTTTTCAAATAAGAAAAAGACAATTCCATTTATAAAACATAGCTTATATATTAACTACTTTGAATAAAGATTTGAGGAAAGCACATATTAAATTGGGAAGTTAAATAAAGATGGATTTTGAATAAGCCAGAAAGCATTTTGGAAGGCAGAATAGTAACACCAAAATTTAACTGAATGTGTTAAGAGCTAAATTTGGCTTTGAGCTTCCCAACAACCAAAGCAAAAATAGAACATCAGAACCTCACCATTCCTGTTTCAGAGCATGCATTCTCAAAAAGGCAGTATCACCCCCGAGGGAGTAAAAATTGGTCTTGGGAGACAAAAAAGTCTTATATTTTAACATAGAAAGCATAGATATACATAAGATACATGAATAGGCAGGTAGTATAAAGTAGTATAAACTACCACTGTGTAGTAGTACATGTAAGCAGATACATAGAATATCTCCACCACTGAAATTTCATCATGAGAATGATTAGGGAGAAAAGATATCTAAGAAGGATCCTTGAAAGGAAACTGTGGGAAGAAAAGTTTGAAAGTAAGACGCTTCGGAGTAAAAGAAATACATCATGGCATCTGGAGCAGCAAACCTCCCCCCGGAACCTCGTTCCAGTAGGAACGGACCCAGAGACGCCCGCTGAGGGCAGTTCCCCGTGATTACTGCAGTCCATCCCGATTTAAAAGGTGTGGAAACTTTGTGTCCACATAATGAGTCTGAGAAATGTACTCGTACGTAACTATATTAGCATATTTGTAATTTATATTAGGAAATTTCTGCAACATTTCCTTGTCTTCATGTTCCTCCCTCCGCTGTCTGTGTTCTCTGGCTACTTCCCAGCCCTGGAGCCCCCGTGGGAGGCATGGCCACAGGGTTTGTGGGGGGACATTCCAGCCAGGGTGGTGCAGTGTGAGGATTAGCCTGGGGGATGGGGGAGGAACAAGAACCCAAACCCCATTTCACACTAAAACTATCGTTTTCTGTAGGGCCGGGAACTATCTTTCGGTTTTGGGTGTGCCTTACACAATGTGAAGTTCCAACTACCCAAAAATGATCGCTGCCGGGGGCTGGGCTTTCTGTACCTCCCAGGTGGGGGTGCCGATTCGATTCGATTATTTTAGGGTTGTGGATAATATCCAGTTTCTAACATACGTGACAGAGGATGAATATTTATCTTATTGAAAGAGTAAGGAGTCATACACACACACAAATTCCATATTCTCACGGTGTACCGTTTCTCGGGGAGGACTGGATATTTACTAGCGTGCATAAACTGGGGGCAAGCTATCGAGCAAGAGAAAGACCCTCTGAGCTTCACGGGCTCCGCAGCAGCCTCCCCCTAGGCCTGGTTGGACAGGGCGGAGGGCACATCCTGTGGTTTAAGCGTGTCTGGCAAGAACAGAGGCAACAGCCCTTTACGTTGAGAAGAGGACCCTGTGCCTTTCTTTGCTTCTTGCCACCTAAGAACCAGCCTGGTGGGGTCCTGGAGAAGGCTCTGAGACCTTCCTGCCTCTCACGCTGAATCATGCAGCCCACTAAACAAAGCCCGCTCTCAAATCGGCAGCTGAACAGAGGCCAGGGCCCGGGCCAGCGAGGGAAGACAGTGCCATCCAGCGCTCTGCTCTGCTCTGCTCCGTAAGGACAGTCAGCCATGCACGGGGACATGGATGCTTCCTGCCTAGGCTCCAAATCAGAGACAATTTGTGTGTCACCAAGCTCTTTAGGAGAGCAGAAGAGAAACAGCAGCATTTGTATTTTACAATAAAGGATAAAAACATAATATGTCAAACACAGTGTCTTTTTAAATAACATTTTATTTCTCATTGTTGACGATTAACTTTTGAGACCACTAGAAGAGTATAATGATTATAGTGAATAAAAAAATATAGATGATAGAATTAAAATATTAGGTTATACAAAGTTAGTTTTAAAAAAGTCATTGTCCACCAACATTTTCAGGACTTTGTAGCTCTGAAAAAAAAAATTAATTTGTGTGTGTGTGTGTTTTACATTTCCAGCAGTTAAAAATTAAGAACACATATTGAGAATCATTTGCAGATGACTATTGTAATAAACAGAAAGACCACGAAAATTAAAACAAGTTCTAAGAACCATCATATATACAAACTTCTGTACAGAACGAGGACAAAAAGAATTCACCCGATTAAAACCATCTCTCGTGGTATACATACCCTTTTTCAGAAAAGAATGAAAATTTATCTTCCTCTACTCATTTATTTTTCCATTTGATTCAGTATTCTTAATGGTGTTTCCACTCCATAAATTAGTAACTGTTCAGTAGCTGAGGAATGTCCTACTTTAAATTATACCTGGGGAAATCAGGAACTTCCCTGAAAGGGCTGAAACTCAATTGTTCGACGCCGGTTGAAGACACCCTCAACCAACACGAGGTCGCCACCAGCTGCAGGAGGGGATGGCACAATTTCCCACGCGAGTGAGCTGGGGTTTTGGCCTATAGAGAGAATGTGAGTTTTCGTGTGTATTGTCACTCCAGATCTTCTCGAAGGTGATGTTCTAACCTCTCCTACTTGGCTACACTCAGGTCATCGAGCTCTTTGCTAACACAAGTCATTTGGCACAAAAAGAAAGGACGTTTGGGCAAGACCTAGGCTCTCCAAGACTGACACGCTCAGAGGCCCCCAGCTTTGATAAACGCAAGGGCACATCCCGGACCCATAACCCACCTTGCTCCATGATGCTAAAGGCCACTCACTCCACGGCTAGAAGTGGCCTCCTTTGACGGGAGAGCAATTGCACTAAATGTTAGACATCGCAGGCCCAGTGAGGTAAGCGCCAGACACAGAGGAGACGGAGGGGCAGGAACGACAGCTCGCTCTTTCCAGACAGTCTTGTTGCTTTCACTGCACGATCCCGGAGTCCACTGACGTCTGCTTGCGAGTGGTCTTTGGAGGGGGAGGAGGTGGAGTTTTGCTGGGCAGTGGAGGTGGCAGATGCTAGAAAACACGAGTACGAGGAACACGTCACATTTCTGATGTATTGACAGTAAAGAAACTGTCTCTAGGTGGGATGTGACCTGGCACCCCAGCTGGGCCGGAACTGCCTCTGCACGGGACTCAGGCTCCACCCTGTCTGACTCGGGGCTGGCAGGTCTGCACTGCCTGCGCCTGGGCTGCCGGCAGCCATGGGCCTTTCTGACGTCTCTGAGTACTTTTCACGAAGGCTGCACAGCCCCTGAGAAGCACCACTGCTCTCTGCCTGGCTGTTTCAAATCCAGGTGCTATTGATCCAGCTACTGATCTACTGTCCAAGGGACAAACAAGTCCCTGGAGATGCTCTCCAAGGGTGAGATGAGAAACTGTCCCCTTGCTTTCAGAACTGAGAGCAAAAGTCAGCAAACTTTTCCTGAAAGGGGCCAGAAAGTAAACGTTTTCAGCCTTGAGGGCCACACGGCCTCTGTCGCAGGGACTCAGCTCTGCTGTAGCAGCTGGAAGGCTTCCGTAGACAGTGTGGGAAGAAATGGGCGTAATGGTGTTCCAAGAAAACTTTATTTACAAACACAGGTGAGTGGCTGCATTTGGCCCAGAGGCCAGAGATTGCCTTAGATTCACAAAAAAGAACACGAATTTCCAATGTAAAGATGATAAAAACCCCTGCTTGGTGGACCTGCTCGAGTGTGAACAACTCAGGGAATTGCTGCCCTGTTGCTCTTGGCGGCCTGATGCCCGTCGCAGACACCCCATGTGCAGATGTTCTGTGAATAAGGGTTGACCAAACAGGGCAACGAATGGGCGAGTGAGTGAATAAATGAAGAAATAAACGAGCCAGTGAGTGAAGAAATGAATGAACAAATGAACAGATCTGGGCAAGTGGGAGCACAGGAACCAGAATGAAATCACAGAACATTATCATCTAACTTAAGGGTAAGAGTGGATTTTTAGCAGCCTCTCAGGGAAGGTTCGAATTTAGCCGAATGTGAGAAAAGAAGTTTTCAAGGACAGAGCAGTGACGTAGTAGTCTCTCACTCACTGCCCGAATTTCCTCCTGGATCACAGACAGGTAAATACAAAAGTGACCTGGTGCCTAATGTGGAGAGGAGAATAAATGTGGAAAAATGAAACTGCTCCAATGATATTACATGAGTACCTGACATAAAAAGGGAAGTAAATTAATAGACTCACAAGTCCTTAAGGTTGGTGAGGACAGTTAGAAGAGGCACCTGTTTTGAGGTCAGTCAAATTGCTTGTTTGTTTACAGGTGAGAGCCAGACACACACCGTCTGACACAACACGCTGCCTCAGATGCCCTGGTGTCAGCTGAGAGAACGCCAACGCCAGGTTTATTGCCATCAAGCACAGTGATAGCTCAGATGACTGGTGGGAAGAGCCATTTTGAAAGAAATGACAGCTTAACGTGGCAACGACGAAGAGACAGAATTGCCTACAAGCCTGAGGCCGATCAATGAGAGTGACAGGAGGCTATCGATCACCCCACGGCATGATTAGTGTCCTAAAACAGCTCTCAGGGCCTGTGCAAAGAGAGGCACCCCAGGAAACGTGACCACTTCTGCCTAATTACAACATACTAACTACAAGCGTGTCACCTAACACGCTCTCATACTGCAAGTAAATTTAACAAGAAACAAATAGAAAAGAGATTCGGGTAGTTAATCTAAGTGAATTCACACCCCCTTTACAAATTGAGCCAAAGCTAGTGCATGTTAGTACCTCCCTTAATCAACTGCATGTGGCATCAGTAACTTAGAATGACGTGGCCAAGAAATGGGGACAATAAAATGTCACCCTGAAGTTGATTTGTAACAGAGATGGAATTGGTTGTAATTCCAAGTTCAGAATTTTCAGTTGACTAGTATAGGGAGACTAGGGGTACATTCCTGCTTTTCCAATAAAATAAAGAGATGAAAATAAAGATGTGATTAATTAAGCCATTAGGAAAACAATACTTCAACCAACCCAATGTTCTTGCTGGGCCCTGTGAATCTCCTTTTGTTCTAGCATGTAGTTAAAAGTGCTGGTGAAGGTCAGGCTGACGTGTCTGTTGTGTGATGAACCCTCCCAACCTCCCGGGAAGCCCCCTTCCTAGGTCCCTTTGTGGCATCTCTAGGGAGAGCTCGCCTCTTTAGATGGCACTTGGGCCTCAGAAGAGCAATCTGTCCCCTTGATGTCAAATGTGAAGTCCCACTGCTTTAGTTTTCTTATACAAAAGGAATAATCAAATACACGTATTATAAATAAAACCCTCTCTTGCACTTCTCTCGCAAGAAGATAATTTCTTTGCAGAGCACTCAATGAAAAAGTCTCCACATAAAAAAGAAAAAACAAGAAAAGGCATGTAGAATTTATATTGTTTATTAAGGGGAAAAAGTACACCTCGCTGTTAGGAAAAAACCGCAGCCAGCTGACAGCTCACGTCTACCACGCTCTGCCGGAGCTCCGTGGCCACACAGCTACCGCATTGTGGCTGGAGAGCAAAAACACGCCCAGCCGCACAGACGGGCACAGGGATAGTCTACTCTCCAGGCTGCGCTCATTTAACTTTCCAAGGCTGCGAATAACGTGGCCCGGGCAGGGTTGAACCTGGAAGTAGATGTTCCCGCCACTGCTGGGGAAGTCACCCGTGTGCCTCCTGCCCCCAGCCTGTGCACACCCTGGCCCTAAACGACAGACACCCACGGGGTGCGCAGTGCCTGACAGCAGCCTGGAGGATCAAGAAAGGAATGTGGGGGACCTAAAGAGAATGTTTCTAGAACTGTCACTGGTAATAGAGACACCGGTTTAAGTGGCTTTTTAAGATTTTTAGCTCGTATTTGCATTAGTAGGCAGTGAGCACATTGGGCAGGGTTAATGATTAAAACAGTTTCCACGGGGGACCAGCATCGGGGACCAGAGCTGAAGAGGGCTGGAGCTGTGCTCATGCTCACGGAGGCCAGGACTGCTGGAGGAAGCCAGACCTGCACCCCCGAACCACAATGGGGCCCGAACCAAAACGGGGAGAGCTTTCAGGGCTGGGGGCTCAATGCGGGGGCTGAGCCTGGCTCCCCTCTGCAGAGTGTCTGAGAGGACCTGCTTGGAGACGAGCTCGCAAGGGCCAAGCTGGGGTGCGCCAGGTGCATGCCTCCCAGGCAGGGTTGCGTTGGCCACCTGCTGGAAAGTGTCAGACGAACCTCCTGATGGAAAAGCTGATTCTCCAAATCAAACTTTCACCAGAACTGCACCTCCAGTGGCAAGGTCTCCACGGTGATGATGACCGTTTGGGATGTGTCTCCTGGCTTCCTTGTTCCCAAGCAAGATATTGAACTGTGCTTTTCCATAGTTATTGATAATGACATAGAACCACAGACCTCACATACCGGAGGCCTTACCACTTGGACATCTTTTCTCAAAATCAAAGCTGGGCCCACCGTACAACTTTTCTCATGTGCTCACGAGCCCAAAGTAAACCCGCCAGTATCCGGGATGAGGATTCCCACATTGCGGAGGGAAGTCACTGAAAACCCGCGTTGCAGATTCCGGACTTACCTTCTGGTGTGGAGGAGGGGGTGGGGGCGTTGATGAGCCCATCAGGTCCTGGTTTTCCATCAGGTTTCCGTAGTCTGCTGTGCTGCCCTTGAGGGGCAGAGGGGGTGGGACATCGGCCACGTCCACTCCGGTCATGCCATTCAGCTCCAAGCCTGGAAAATTGGGTCCATTTAAAATCAGAGCGACATCCCCGCTGAGCCTGACCGCTCACAGGCCACTCTATGTCCCCTCTGGGAGAGGCGGGGAAGGAGGAATATTTGTCAACAGAGCAGACAAGAGGAGGCAGTGGCAGAGAACACAGAGAGAGGGATTCCCTCCCAATGGCAACGTTCTGGAAAGAGAACACAAAGCATCGAATGACAACTAAAACCAGCACGGGAAGCGAGGCATCAGTGCACTGTAAAAACAGTAATGTCAACTGCAGCCCTGCTGATCCCGGCCCCCTTGCCTCAGTGGCATCTAAACAGCTGGGTGCCACATGGACTGTCTAATGCTGCCACTTTCAAAGCCCAGCCAGGGCTCTGTAGTCAGCCCCCGCGGCTGTCACCTGGAGAGCGTCACTGAGCGAAGTCTCACACGGCGACATCCGACCAGCCACCCGGCTTCAAATCTCTCTCCACAGGAAAACCCGCAGTCCTATGAAATGAAGCTACGAGCAAGGCAGTCACAGTAGCTGTTGCTTTAAATAAGCCAACGGGAAGTGCGATTGATTTTTAAAGTAAACTGCAAAAGTAGCCGCTTTGAAACAGAGGAATAATCGTTAAGGCGGGATATTTTCTCAACCCTTGTTGAGACTCTTAGAAATAATTTGTTTTCTGTAATATTAAAGAAAGAAAAATTGACATTTTTACTGATGAGTCTCTTTTGAAGTTTTCCCCAAGGATCCATCCGATGAAAAATCCTTCGTTAGGAAAACGCTTCCTAGGAAGAGGGCTGCGTCAGTTACTCAGGACGCTCTGCCAGGGAACGGAGGGGAAAGGCAGGCAGCCGACGGTGTGACTGTCCTCACGGCTGCTGCCTGTTTTATTGTGGTAAAATGTGCATGGCGTACGCCTGCCATGTTAACTGTCTTTCAGCGTACAGTTCAGTGGCATTAATTACACGGGCCACATTGTGCCACGTCACCATCTATTTCCAGAACGTTTTCATCATCCCAAATCAGAAGTCTGTGCCCGTTAAGTGATAACTCCCCACCCCTGTCACCCTCCAGCCCCTAGTGACCTCTATGCTACCTTCTGTCTCTAGGAATTTGCCTATTCTAGATCTTTCATATAAGTGGAATTATATAACATTTGTCCCTCTGTGACTAGTCTATTTCACTCAGCATGTCTCTGAGGTTCATCCATGTTGGCACATGTGTAAGAACTTCCTTCTTTTTTATGGCTAAATAATATTCTATTGCATGGGTATTTCTTAGGATGTGTATATGTTTATCTGTCCATCAGCTGATAGACATTTGGGTTGCTTCCACCTTTTGGCTCTTGTGAATAACACTGCTATGAACAGTAAGCATCTGTTTGAGTCCCTGTTTTCAATTCTTTGGGGTACAGCCCTAGGAATGGGATTGCTGGGTCATGTGGTAATTTTGCTTCACTGCTGAGGAACCAGCAAACTGTTTATGGCAGCAGTAGCGATGGTGCCTGTTTTAAATATTAAAAAAAAGTTTTAAATATTTTTAGAAAAAGATCATGCAGTCATAGTGTAAGGATGTGAAAATGTACCACCCAGAGACTACATCCCTTCCTGGGCCCCGAAAACTCTTTGCTCACACGATGAGGCTCATCCACTCTTGAAGCCAGCACATACCACTTCCTGATGTCCTCCAGAGTCAACACCACTTTCCTTTCAGCTGGCAGAAAATTGGGTGCCCAGGACAATGGTTCACTGCCTTCCACAACCCACTCACGGGGCCGGTGCCCTCCTGCCTTGGACTCCTCTCTCCGGCCATAGCTAGGGCAATGGGCTCTGTTGTTCTGCTGCAGCCCTCACCCCGCACCTTCCTCCTTCCAAGATTCCTCCCCTCTGACATGTCTGAATTTAGCGGTGAAAAGCTGGTTGCCACTCGGTGGGTTGAATGGCATCCCTCCAAAATGTGGACCTCTAAGGTCCACCCAGAACCTCAGTATGTGACCTTATTTGGAAATAGGGTCTTTGCAGGTATAATTATTAATAGTTAAGGATCTCAAGATGAGTTCATCTTGGGCCCTACAGCCAATGACTGGTGTCCTTATAAGAAGAGGAGAGGACACAGGGGAGGAGGCCATGTGAATTTGGAGGCAGAGATTGGAGTGATGTGGCCACACTCACAAGGAATGTCAGGGATTGCTAGCAGCCACCAGCAGCTAGGAGAGAGGCCTGCTTCAAGCCTCCATAAGGAACCAACTTGCCAACACCTTGATTTCAGACTTCTGGCCTCCAGGACTGTGAGAAAATAAATTTCTGTTGTTTTGGGCCACCAGGTTTGTGCTAACTTGTTACAGCAGCCCTAGAAACTGGGCAAACCAGAAAAATCGGTTATGCCTCTTAGCCCTTCCAACCTGCCCGGAAGTGCTGCTTCACTGCACGCTCCTCGCTGGTAGACCCGGGCCTCCTACGGCTCAGCGCCCAGTGCTACGAAGCAGGGGCTGCCCCAAGTGCCTCTCAAGTCCCTTCCCAATGGAGGGGGTGAGCCTGGGATGGACCCCAAACATTCTGCCCATCAGGTACCAGAGGACTGATTTGCTGAGGTCCAGATGCTATAGCCTGTCCTGAGGGACGCTCCTAGTAAGTCAGGTGCTCACCCGAGCTCCCTCCACCGCTGCAAGTGGAGGACGTGCTTCTAACTCTAGAGCCTTCGATTAAGGGGAAGTCATGAAACAATATCACAAGTTCAGATGTGGAGGATGCCCCACTTACTGGACTGCAGGCTGAAGTTGAGCTTGGCCCGTGGCGTGACCGGAGGGGGTGTTTGCTGGGAGGACGGCGACACTGAGAAGCGCCTCTCACTTCCGATGACGTTGATCACCTGGCTTTTCGGTCTCTGGGGCCGCAGGGGACTGATCTATGGGGAGGGGCATAAAGAGTACAGTTAGGGCTGTTATGGGCTAAGTTGTGTCTCCCCCAAAATTCGCATGTTTTAGTCCAGACCCCCAGAACCTCCCAATGTGACCTTGTCTGGAAATATGGTCTTTGCCAGTGACCAAGCTTCGGCAAGGTCGTTAGGGTGGGCCCTCATCCCATGCGACTCGTGTTCTTACAAATACGGGAAATCTGGACTCGCACACACGGGAAAACATCGCATGAAGATGAAAGCAGAAGTCAGAGTGAAGCTTCTACAAGCCAGGAGATGCCAAAGATGCCAGCAGCCACCAGAGGCCAGGAGAGAGGCCTGGGACAGATTCTCCCTCACAGCCTCGGAGAAATCAACCCTGCTGACACCGCGACCTTGGACTCCTGGCCTCTAGCACTGCGAGACAACGCTGCCCAGCGTGCGGTACTTTGTTACGCAGCCCTGCCACACAGACACGGGGTCTCACAGTGCTCTGTCTACGCAGCCTGGGGTGGACAGCGCATCACAGGGTTCCTGATATCAGTGCAAAGTGGCAGAGTGCTGCTGCAAGCTGTTCAGACGCCCAGCGAGAACACACAGGGCCACCTCCGCAGGGTCAAGAATGGAATGAATGGTCTGCTCAGTTCCCACAACTACCCCGGCGCACCGGTGACATTGTGGTCTGCCTTGGCGGAACAGGAGAGTCTAGGAATGTGCCGGGGCTTTCTTCAGTCCTTTCCTTTGCTGCTTCTCACACCTGTGTCCTGACTGGGTGGGAATTCCTTTTCTCTCCTTTTCACCGCATTTTTCCTTCTGTCTCTGGCTTTTGGAGGCACTTGACTTCTCCCCACCTAAGCGCTTTCCCCGTTTGTTACATCAGTAATTTTTACTTATATATGTCTTACAACTTGGTCTCAGATCATTAGGCCTCGGGGACTACAAGCAATTACAAAATACTCTGAGGCAGAGTCATTAGAAAGGTATTAACTCAGCCGAAAAGGTGGAGTTGAGATTGTCCCCCCAGGAAGGGCAGGCAGGCAGGTGGGCGACCCGTGGGCCCGGCGGGTGGGCCGTGGTGGTGTGGGCGAGCGGTAGAGCAGGTGGGTACTTTGTCTGCCCTAGAAGAGGTGGGCCAAGCCAGGGCTGAGCTTGGAGGAAGAGGGACCCTGCCCTGGGAGCAAGGTCAGGCCTGCCGGTGGATGAGTGCCACCGGCCACCGCCGATAGGCCAGCTTCCAGAACTGCCCTGTACTGCTCAGGGGAGCCCAGTGCCCAGGCGCTATCTAGTATCTGCAGAAATGGCCTCGTTCCAGGCAGCTGAACTGCCGTGGGAGGTTTGCAAGTGCCAGGTTGAAGGCTGGCCTCTGGGGGCAAATACAAAAAACATGCATGAGGGCCAGCAGCAGGGATTCAGGGACAGTTCAGGTGCTTCCCTCCTCCTTCCTGGCTGTCCCTGGATGGGCACATTCTGATCCAGAGAGTGAGTCAGAATGTCCCAGGAGGCCACCCTGGTGAAATGCAAATTGCAGCCTGAAGGCTCTGGCTCCCAGAGGCTCACTGAATTTGTTGATGACGCAAATCACGTAGGAAGCCGAACCTAGCCCTAAGGGGTGAGGAGAAGAAGGCTTTGCAGAAGCTCTGGCCTGAGGGGAGGCCAGTGTGGGGAGGGGAATGGGGGGGACGCCAAGGGGCCCAAGGGACCGCCCTGTTCTGCTGTGCCTGACTGCTCATGGGCACAAGGAGGCCTGAATAGGAAACTGCAGGTGCCTGACTATCCTCACAGACCTTGCTGGAATCCGGCCCCTGGAGGAGGCGGCCCCTTTGTGGACAGATAGGTGGCTGGGCTGGACCAAGAATAGTAAGTCTCCCAGCGGGAGGTCAGGATTCTTGGCCTCCTGGCATTGCAGCCGTGGTCCTTCTGAGACTGGGTCAGATGCTGACAGTGAGGTCAAGGTTCTGTGCTCTAACCTTGGTGAGTTCCTGTGGGCTTACGGAGGGTGCCAGGGTTAGCTGTGGGGATGCCATGTGGCACCGTCCCAGGCCCTGTCCTTTGCAGGTGTCCTAGCAGGGAAGCTGGGCCACCATGGGCAGGGACAGAAATTGCACTGTGCTGGCTCGGTGCCTGGCCTGCTATGTCCTTGGGCTTCTTTGCACGCAACTCAATCGTGATCAACTCTGCCACTTGGCTCGATTTCTCTGAGGCCCTCTGTTTTAACCTCTTAACATGGAGCTTGAATACAAATGTATGAAAGACTTGCAGAGTGTCCAGCATTTAGTAAATATTCAAAAATTCTTCTTTTAATTCTCCCACCCAGTTATAATGTTTTGGGACTTGAGAAATTTATTTAGGGCTTGAGAGAAGATCTCAGCCCACCCGGAGGAGTTGCTGGCATCGCAACTTTGCAGAATAGTGAGCAGAGAAAACTGGGCAGCTCATCAGAAGCCCCTTGATCCCATTACCAGAGGCAGAGTGCCTGGCGCTTCACACCTGCCTCTGGCCAGTGTCTCCCCTGGGCCCTGACACCCTCAGCCCATCTCATGCCACACTGAGCCCCTCAGCTTAGCTGCAAGCCACAGCACCTGTCCACAGGCCTCAGAGCAGTGCTCGCCTGCCTGAAGGCTGTCATGGCTGTGGCATCCGCCTTCTACCTCTAGACAGCCAAGCAACACACCACCGCTGTCTGAGTGGCGTGCAGCCCGGATGAAATGTGCCCTCTGGTGCTTAAGCTATAAACAAGCAGCGAAGTACATCTTATTGAAAGGTGGTCCCATCTGAGCTCTTTGATCAGTTAATGCTTTCATCACAACCCAGACAGCGTTGGCCAGGCCACAGGCTACTGCAAATGCCCACCCATTTCTAGGGGACGGCTGCTCTGAGCCTGACTTCACCTTTGAAGCTGAAAACCTAAGAAAACTGCTTTTTTATTTTTGTTTCCAGTCTACAGAGAGCACTTTCTGAATCCAGTGCACCCCAGAGGCAGGCTGGGCCTCATTTCTGCACTCAGACTCCAAACGCCAGGGAGCCCTCTGGGAGGATCCGCCCCCGGGCCCTGCCCTGGGACAAGAGTGCGCTCCACCGCCTTCACCGCCCTCACACGCCAGGACTGTGGGATGAACGGACTCACTGGGATTTTTAATGTCAACTCACCAGCACGTGTCATGTAAAGTCCCCGTAAGTCCTTCTGAAAGATGGCCGGGAGATTGAAATGCAGAGCAGATGAGGAAGGGACGATAACATGAAACTAGCCCAGCTGGTGGAGCCCAGTGGGAAGGGACATTCGGGTCCTATCTGAGCAGATCATAACGCTTAGGCAGCAACTGTGCCTTAGAGATTTCCAGCCAGGAAGGGGCGAGGGAAAGGCATTAGCTAACAAAGAGTACTCTTTTCTGACAACAAAAGCATTCTCACATCGCCAACAAGTACAACAGAGCTGCAGAGAGCCTAGAAACCTGTGGGCTCTGCTGGCGACCTCCCCGACCTGAGTCGATTTGGGACGGAGGACGGACGCTAAGACCAGCCTCCCCTCAGACTCTCTGTGTCTCTCATGGCCCGACTGGGTCAGACTACTCGAGGCTAAGGGGGAGGAGGATCCCAGGTTTTAAGGTTACTACTTTGCAGCAAATTCAATACAATCCAGTGGACAGCCCTGCTGGCTCCAGGAGGAGCACAGGCAGGTCCCAGGAGCTCCTGCAGCGTGAGGGGACAGCCCATTGGATTACCGTCTCAGAAAGGATCACAGCCTCAGACTGCTGCAGGGAAATGTCGGTGGGTTTAAATTCCTTATCAAATATCTCTTGATGTTTGCTGTTCCTTTTCTCTTTCTTCTTGTCCTTCTTCTCCTTATCCAGGTCATCCTTGTCTAGCTTGTCCTGGGACCTGGAGTGCATTTTCTTTGGCAGGAGAGGCTCCAGGGCAAACCTAAAGGAAAAGTTTCTTTAAATCAGTGTCATCTTGATGGGGAGCAATTCCTTTCCATCCTGCAGATACCTGTAAACTCACTCGGAACTCCTCGAAGTGCTGACTGGGACTCGCAGACTTTTATAAGGACGGAAATGATTTAAAAGGGAGGCCGAGGGTGACTTCAGATACATAGTAACCAACTGTCAGGGTCGTGTTTCCATCCCAATAAAAACAAACTGGAAAAAGATAGAACACTTATAGGACAAGAGGACAGGGTACTGAAGGATGACATTAAGGAATTATCGTTGATTTACGACAGTAGGATGGAATTTTGGGTATATTTCAAAAGGCAAACCCTTGCCTTTTAGAGATTTATACTGAAATATTCACAGACACAATGGGGAAAAATAGGCAGGTGCCAAAGCAAAGAAATTTCTGGTACCTTAATTCTGACCACATTTCTGTGATTATAGATTTATGGGTTGCTTCTGTGTGAAAGCCCTTTGGATGGCCCAGCCAGAGGCAAGCCGACTCCGCTCACAGGGACTTGGTGACACCCTCAGGTTTTCAGCCGAAAAATGAGCTAGAGACAGAGGGCCTCGGTCCTAGCTCTGCCACTTGCTGGTGACACTTGACATATTCCTAACCTCTGGGAAATTGATGTTCTCATTTACAAAAGGGAATGAGAACACCACCACCCTTCTGCCTATGTACACCAAACAGTTGCTATAAAAATACGTTGATGATCAGACCACTTAGTAAATGGATCTGGGGCTAGTCTCAAAGGCATATGTCAGAAGGTTAGTGTGCACATGTGTGTGCACACATGTTCACACACGTTGCATTTTGCCACTGTAACACAAGATCGGCATGTCCGTCCTGTTTCTAGTAACAGGAGGGGGTAGAATGGATCCAATTCTAAGACTGGACTTTTATCCCCTGCAGCTCCTGCTATAAGGAAGGAGTCAGCAAAGAGGCCAACATGGATAAAGTATGGACACACTTGAAAAACCTTATAGCAAAACTCATGGATAAGGTATGTTGTTATTAGGATCTTATATTTTCCATATAGCCTGCCCTTTGGAGCTCCCAGCCCTCAAAGCAACTTCCAAGTCCGATGTCCTTGACCACCTGGAGGATAAACTGGCTTCTTTGAGGGGAGAACGATTTCAAGAGAAGAGAATTTAGAAAGCCAGTCACATTTTCATCCTAGCTGTGGTTTCTCTTAAACTTGCTTCCGAATGGGAAATTTGGAACAAAACCACTGTGCTGATTAAGAAGGTCACAGCAGCATCCTTGCTCCCCAACATGGGACATGCAACATGGTCCATGCTGAGAGGGACCAGGAAGGGACGGAGCATTGACAAAGCTGCATTTAAAACCCTCTATAGATGTAGACTGCCAGGAGCAGGAATAACGTCTCCTACTCTTTGTTTCTCCCTGTCTCACACGGCTGTGGAGAAGGATCTGTTGTTAAGGTACATGTGCTATTTAAACAGCAATCGGATTGGATCTAAGCATTGATTATCACCAGCTGTTTATGTCCCCCAAAACGAGAGACCCAGATGTGACGGGCCTCTGAACGGAAGAACATGCCACTACCCACGAAGTCGTCTTGTCTCCAGATAGAATCTGAATCTGATCCAACCTCTGTGCTCAACTACGAACATAAAGAAACTGCGGAGGACAGAGACACACAGCAGACAACTCTAGGACACAGCAGGGAGCACGAGACATCAAGCAACCTAGATTTTTCAACAAATAAATTACAAGGAAAAGAAAAATAGTGGATTAAAAGAGACTTAAAGAAATAATATCAACCAAGTACAAGGTGAGGACTTGTAAAAAAAAATAACATTTATGACAATGGGAAATTAACACTAATATATTTTGATAAAATGAAATTCCTGTTAATATCTTATGTGTGACATAAACTAGATTACTGCAAAGTTTACATAAAGTAATATAGTTATGTTTTTTAAAAACGAGGTCAAGTCCTATCTTTTAGAAATTCATATTGAAATAGCTGTAGATAAAATGATATGCTGATTGAGATTTGCTGGAAAATATAATATGGGGGAGGAGGGGTGGGATGTAGATTGAAAGAAGATTCGCTAAAAATTGATAATGGCTGAGGCTGGCTGATGGGACGCAGCGGCTCATTATACTGTCCACTTTTGTATATGTCTGAAATTTTTCTATAATAAGAAGTTTAAAAAATTAAAAATGATTGCTATAACATACCAGTACTGACTTAGATCATTAAGGCATTTCGAAACACCTGCATTTTTCCACCTGGATATGCATTAACCAATAAATCAACATCCATTAGATGTTAAATATTGTATCTATTATATTATAAGCAACAGCCAAAAATTGTCATGATTTTATCCTAGGTTTTGCAGAACTTGAGATAATTAATGTAGGCCAAAAAAGGATCAGGAGACATCTTCCAGCGCAGGGAGAAGACCTACGCTGTGAAACCTTGATGAGTACACAAAGAAGTGAGAGAAAGACAGGGCGAGTTTTAAATTTTTCACATTATGAGAAGCAACTGCCTGCAGGATGAACTTTATTTTGCACGTAACCTGTGCCATTTGAGACCAAAGCCTCATTTTCTCCACATTAGTTAGATAGCGAAGGGTGCTAACCCTAAGAATGAACGAAAATCAGGACTCTAATAAAGATGCCTTCTAGTTAAAGGTTAAACAAATGCCTTGTGGGGAGAAGCTGCCTGCCAAGCTCACGTATTCACATGTGCAATACACCACTCTTCCATCTAAAACCTCTCCATCAATCTCTACCCTAACCCCTATGTTCTTGGAAATATAAAAACCTTTTCATAAGTAGCCTGGGGATTTTCTTGGGGAGAAGTTGAATTAAATTTCTTTAGCAATTTTGCTCTAAAGTGACAAGCACACATGATTTAAATACCTCTAAATTGAGAATTTCCATATGGACTTGGCCTTATAAGTACCAGACACTGATAAAAATTGCTGTTGAGAAAAAAAAATTGTGGGTATAGTCTGCAATTCTCCATTGGGCACATCAGTTGTAGGCAACAAAGGGCACTTAGAGCTGAGCCGTCCCTTGGGGCTCTCTGGAAGTTTGTGTCTGCATGTTGACAGGGCCAGGAGCCTGCGGGTTTGATAGGGTGATGGATTGTAAACCAAATGGGATTGGACAAACACGCAACTGTGCAAACGTGGCAGTAAAGCAATTAGAAGTTCTTCTCTGATGTTTAAATTGCATGCAACATTTTTTCTTTTTATATAATAACAAACTTTCTATGCTTCCCACTCAGAAACACACAAAAAAATCAATATTGTGGTTCTCTTTGCAATAGTCTGAGCTAATGCAACAGCCACAGTGAGTGCTGAGTGAATGTTAGTTAACTAGTTTAACTAGTAGGTTCTTGTTTCCCTCTTAGCTGTTTTGTACTATCAAGTACTCAAGAGGAAAAATGGTTCTCCGAAGTGGTCTTGTAGAAAGAAGGTGGCCTGTGTGTACTTAGAACAGTCAAAACCATAAAGACAGAAAGAATGGTGGCTGCCGGGCGAGGGGCGGTGTTAGTGTCTAATGGGTGCAGAGTTACAGTTTCACAATATAAAGAGTTCCGGAGATGGACGGTGGGGATGGCTGTACAGCAATGTGAATGTACTTAATGCCACTGAATCGCACACTTAAAAACGGTTAAGATGGTAAATTTTATGTGTACTTCACCACAATAAAAAAATTGAGATAAGAAAGGATAATATGCCCTATATTTTCCATAGAAAATAGAAAGTATGGGACAGATGGTCATTCTCAGAAGTATTCAACTTAAACAGCATTTCCCTTTAAAAGGTAATAAAACGTACCAGAAACAAAGCTAAACAAATAAAAGTTTTGCTCTCAAGAAAAAACAAAAAAGGAGGAAGAAAAAGAGGAAGGTGGCCGGGCCAGCTGTCGCATAAGCCTGTGTGACGGCCGGCTGGGCGGGTGGTGCCACGCGTGGACCCGGAGGCTGTGTCGTGCCCAGACCACGCCGGCCCTGCCCTAGCACGACACCCGGAGGTGACCGTGAGATGAAAAGTCCAAAGTGCACGGCCAGGAGGGAATGCACCTGCTGCTCCCAAGCCGTGCTGAAGAGGACTGGACACTCGCTGGCAGTTTTAAAATTTGAAGGAAACCTTGTCCAAGGCGGCACCCAAAGTGAGACCTTTCTTCTCAACAACTCACAAGGCCCTGAAAGTAATATTGGGCACTATGGTCGTAGAGTCTTGGAGGATCACAATTTCAAAGATAATCTTGATTTTTAGAAATCCTCAGTTGTGATAAAACAAACCCAGGGCTCCTCATAGGACCCCCAGCCCTCTCTGCTCCCAAGCTGCTGCCGCTGAGTCTGACTCACCCATCGGAGCCCGGCCTGGAGGGGGTGCTGTCGGACGAGAGGGAAGAGACAGACGCCACGGACAGAGGCCGGGAAGAGGAAGGCATCGTGAAGGACCGCACCATGGAACGGGGGCGGCTGCCTCTTCTGTCGTCCAGACTCGAGGGCTGAGAGAGAAACAGAGAGAGAGCCTTGTCAGACTACTGCGAGGAGGTGGTCTTCCTAGCGTGGAATCTAGACCACAATCGTCCACACTTTTATAAGCAGTACACGTTCTTGTTCTGAGCAACTGACGAAAACGATTATTTTGGGGTCTTTTGAAACCTGACTCAGTATAGTGAAAAATATCAGAAGGAACCTTCTTAGCTTTTTAATTTTCAATGCAGTTTTCTTTGCCGAGACCACAATGCGTCAACCCATTCCAAAGTCATAGTAGAATATACTGACCAGAAAATGTAATGTACGGAGTAACATCTAAAAAGTGGTGAAAGAATTTGCGAGATCTTTAGATGGACTTTGTACATCTCCGCATGTTGACAAACTACCCAAGTAACCAAAATGCATGGATGGGCAATGATAGAACCTCTCTAGACTGAAATGAGACGCTCCTGCTGCCTTGGGAACAGTGGACTCCCCGCTGCGAGTGACTGCTGTAGGGAATGGACGAAGTCACGTGAGAGTTGCCAAAGCGCCTCCCGCCTACTAGGCGTGGACTAGTGATGCATCCTGGAGAACAATGATCTCTGGATGGACTTTTCCATCCTCTCCTTGACATATTACCAGAACACGTGTCACTGAAATATAGCATATGTCAACATCTAATTAGCTAAAAAATTCTCGTGTACCTGCTCCCCGAGCCAGATGCTGGCACATCTGGACCGCAGCTGCTGCACAAGCACTTTCCTTCAACCTGAGGATGTGGGAATCAAACTCCTGTAGGACACGTCCTCTCTGCATGGCTTCAACTCCCTACTCCCAGCCCACCCCACTGAAGCTGGCATCTCATTCAGCCAATCAACTATCTACAGCCTGTGCTAGATCACAGTTCCAGACCTCAGGGGCAAGAAGCCGTCAATTACTGATTACATAATGCCATTTCTGCATCTGAAAAGTGGGCCTATTTCCTAAGTATCAGATCCCAAATAAAATATTATTTGATTTGTACACTATCTCTTTAATAGTGAAAAGTTCAATATTGCAAAAAGAACAAGGAATTGGTAAACTTTTTCTGTAAAAAACCAGATGATGAGTCTTTTAGGCTTGCAGGCCATATGGTCTCTGTTGAAACTACTCCGCTCTGCTACGAGAGCACAAAAGCAGCCACAGACAGCACAGAAACGAAGGAGCATGGCTGCATGCCAATGACACTTGATTCACAAAAATAGGCGGTGGGCCACAGTTTGTTGACCACTGGTTCAAAGCAACATGCAGCTGGAAGCTGCCAGCACAGAGGGTCTGGTCAGTCTTGGACTTGCACCAATGGTGGTGCCATTGGATAGCTCCACAGAGGAGTCCACTGCAATCAATCAGCCTTTCCGAGGAAACTAAAAGGGAAACGGTTACTTGTAGATATCTCCAATTGTGAAAACATTTCCTAAACACAATCTAGACAAAGTCTACGTAATATCCTGTCCTTGGCTTTTCTGAAACACGATCACAGGTCACCCAAGACCCCACTCTCTGAAGTGTTTCTCCCACACAGCTTCTCCACGGGATCCCGGAACCCCGTTTTGTGTGCTCGCTACCCCTGAGGATCCTAAGGAAGAGCTCACTACTCTCGGTCCACCATCCCCAGCACCACCCACCCCTCAGCATTGCACCTTCAATGCAGCACCCGAGGCCTCTTTACATTTTGAATGAGCCCTGCTGGCAGCCTCTGTCTTCCCAAACCCACACCCTCCCTTGCCATTTCTTCCATGGAAGCTTCTGAAGACAGGCTCAGGGGTTGGGGATGAGCTTGGTGGAGGGCACGTAATCACCCTTCTGAATGCCCGTCTACACAAGCTGTCCCAACTACGTACCCAGATGGGGGCTCCCCTCCTGCTTTTCCCCTGGAACTCTCTTAGGCTTGACTTCAACACAATCCTTCCTGGCTACTGGTGGAAAGAAGAAGGGAAGAGAGCCAGCAACCTGATACTCATGTGATTTCTGCGGCTTGGGGGATGCAGCCTTTATATCCCACCACCCGGTCGGCAGGTGGAGAGCAGCATGGAAAAGAAGCTGAGCACACGGCTAAGAGACTTGACCTGTGACATCTGGGTGGGGCTCTGGCACTGTGAGCCCCATTCCTAAGAGCATCCAGCTTGTCATTTTCCATGTCTCTGTGATGAAATGAACTTCACAGCAGCCACGAGGACCTGAGTGCTGAGTGAGTGGGTGCACAGTAGGGAGGCAGTCAGGGACCAGGAGGAGAAGACATCAGTGAGGACAACCTCACTTGAGCTCTTGGGAAGGCCCAGAAAGCAGCCCCTGCGCACCCACCACCAAGGGTGGTGATATCCCTCAAGAGGTGACCTGGAGTCTTGGTCGCCATGTGAGTATGGACTGCCAGGAACACAGGGAGGACGACGGCAGGAGGAGGCCTCTGCCAAGGAGGGACAGAAGCTACTATCGGGTCCCACATTTGCAGGGCACCCACTGGGTTGTAGCCGTGGGCTCTACTGGGTTGCTCCCCTCACAATTCTTTCTTGGTTGAGCAGAGCCTCTAAAAATCCAGAACTCAGGGCTTCTATTTTTCCATCTGATGCAACTGGGGTCTCACCCAGTTCTGACAGGTGCAGCTCCAGGCCCAGACACCGGGAGTGAACTGATGTCTCTTTTTCCCAGCAGCAAGGCCAGGGATTAGGAGTTGAGGGTGTTAGAACCAGGCTAGAGTTTTGGCTGTGGCACTGACGGTGTGACCTAGCATAAATCTGGAGCCAGCCCCACCTCTCGATCAACACCCCTCCTAGCAGCCTCTGAGGAACCCTGGGTTCCCACGGATCCCAGTGAGAAAGCCACCAGGATAGGTCCCACTGGCAGCTGTGGAGGGCAGTCATGGGAGGAGGGATCCAGGGAGCCCGGTCAGGGGCCAGCTGTGAAGGAAATGGGGGTGGGATGAACCGCAATGCCACCAGGCAAGACCACAGCTAGAACCTGCGAGGGACGAAGGCTGACTCCTGGGTTTCCCGTCTGGGTGACCAGCGGGTGTTGTGACAGGAGCCGGGAAAGGGAGAGGAGGGCGATGGCCTGTTTGGCTGAGGAGCTGGGGGCCACCTGGAAGGAGCTTGCAGGAGGTGGGTTAAGAGATGTGGCTGCAGCTCAGCACCTGGCCCCCCTGGCGGTTAAAGTGATGCCATGGACGGGATGGAGAGTGGGCAGAACCAGGCCAGGCCCCCTGCTCCTCACCAGATGTGAAGGAAGAGGTAGATGAAGATTGCTTGAGAAACATAAACATCTCCTGCATGAGCTCAAAGGCAAACACAAGCACCTACTGTGCACTGCGGGCCAGCAAAGGCGTGGGATGCTGAATGCAGCAGGCGCTCGTGGGCTCTTTCCCAGGGTCCCACATGCCTCGCTCCCCAAGGATCAGGGGACACAGGGCCACAGTGCTGCCTTAGAGTCCCAGGACTGGTGAGGTCAGGCCAGCGCGGAGCAGGCCAGAGGGGCCTGTGTGTTAAGAAGTCAGAGGGTGTCCACTTCCTCTCTTTCTAGGGCTTAGGCTGGCTCAGAAAAATTGACACAATGGTTTATGTCCTTTCTATGGGATTTTTATTTTTAAATCCATCTTTTTTTGAATAGGATGATACTATATTGCTTTTCAAAGTATTCTGAGATGCTTCCAAGTTTCCAACGTAGTTAAGACAGGAAAGGCTCATCTCAGACTGCTTTTCATTGTCACATTTCTCAGAGGATGACGGCGTCTGCCTGCCCCTCATCTGCTCAAAGGAAGCTGACTGCAGAGCCTGGCTTTGGGGTCCCAGGATGCAGGAGGACTCAGGAATGTGGCCCAAGGGAACGAAGCATCCAAGGGTGGGAAACACATCCTTAATTCTGTTCCTGGATTGCCCCCCTAATAAGCCTCCCCACCCCTAGCTAGGGTGCCCTGTCTGGCCCCACAGAGCAGGGCTGGAAGTCTGGTGGAGATGGTGCTGCCGCAGGGTGCAGTGGGAAGCGCTCATCTCCAGCCAAGGATGGCTGCCGGAGCTGCAGCCAGGGGAAGCTTGTTTTTGAATAGCGAGACACCCCTGCCACTCACACATACCCCGACCTTCCTGTCCTTGTTTTCTCCAACGGCAGGCACACATAGGAATCATGAATCATAGCAGAGAAAGGGATATGAAAGATGTTTGGTGAGTCAAGCAGCTTCCTGTGACTTTGAGATATGTGTTAAATGATTGATAAAAGGGAAGCTTTTCACTTAGTAGGAAACCTTCAAGATTTCACAAGTGTTTATTTCTTAGAAACAATTAAAACTGGCGTTGAATTTTGGAAGAGGTGCACAGTGACACACCCTGAAACGCTTCTTGCCACTCGACTCTGACTGCAAGCAGTTGCAAGCTCCGACGCCATCAAGCACTGCTCAGGGATTGTGACTTGCACAAAGGCCAGCGCCTGGATGCCCAGGCCTGCTCACCTGTGGCAGCTCCTGCGGGCCTGTCAGTCCCAGATTCCCACCCACTGAGCTTCCAGACCCAGGGCCAGCAGTTGTGCTTTGTCAGGTCCCTGGCTTGGAGGCCCAGAGGCTCAGCCTCGCCCGGCAGCGTTGGGGAGACTGGGGAGCAGGCAGTGGAATCACGGTCCAGTTAACCTTTCTCGGGGAGAGTCCTCATCTCCTACCACATGGGCGAGAGGAGGACAAGCTCGTGATGTGAAATACAGGGTGAGGGCTGGAAGCACAGATGAGACTGTTTGGGCTCAGACCCCGGGCTGGCCACTTGCTAGTGTGTGACCTTGGGCTCGTTAACCTTCCTGTGTCCTTGTGTCCTTACCTGTAAAATGGGAATGACCATGGTGCCTGCTTCCCAGAGTGTTAGGTGGATCAAGCAAATGAACATTTGTAAAACACAGGAAAGGTCCCTGGCACCCGGTAAGCCCTAAAGTAGTGTTTGCTAAACGAGATGAATGTACGATGGAAAAGTGAGTTCAACAGCCAGGGCAGCTGAGAACTTGGCCAAAAACGAAACCAAAATGGCGCACCTCATTCAACACCCGGCCTTTAGGGAGTAAGTGTTGTATGTTGTAAGAAGTGGAGTGACTCCCGCCTAGCACGCCTTCCTTAGGCAGGACCACTGAAGACGTGCACACACTGCTCAACGCCAGCAGGCGTGGAATTCTATCATGGTAGATAAGGGCTTACTTCCTCTCTTTGCCACACAGCCTGTCATCCCTGAACAATGGGGAAAGGGGCCATTTGCTGTGCCCAATGTCTCCAGGGTCCACTGGCAGTCAGAATAGGCTGCAGCGAAACCCAGAGACCATCAAGATGGAAGTACCACTCTGGACGTCTCGCCAGGGAGACTCTGGGCGTCTTGCCAGGGTGGCTCTGACTTGGGGTGTCTGGCCTTGCCCCCAGAGCTGCTAAGACATGGCTCCTGAGGACAGTCTCAAGCCTGCTGTCAGACTTCAACTGCACGGCTTTTTGCCCGGTTAAAACTCACAAGCTGCTCTTTATCATGCTCCTGATCCCAGCTCCTGCTCAGAAACCTTCCAGAAACTCATCGCAAAAGTCCAGTTCTGCCCTTCATCATGAGAGGGCCTCCTGTCCCAGCCTGGCATCCCCAGTCCTTGGAGGTCGGGTACCTTTCCAACTCCTCCCTGTGGTTTCCCTCCTGCACAAGGCATGCGTGTGTCTGCACTGGCCTCTGGCCATCCAGAGTCCCGCCTCCCAGCCTTTGTTGAGGGAGTCCTCTCTCTGGGCAGTGTCCTTCCGGGCTCCCCTGGCCATATCCAACTTATCCTCCTCGGTCTAGATCAACTACCACTTCCTCCCATAGGTGAGTCTTTGCTAACAAATTCAAACTCTAGTAATCCATCACTCTCCCCTCATAGCCATGATTCTTAGACTTCAACCTTGCTGGGCCACCTCTGCCATGGACATCACAGGAGCTGAACCCTTTGTGTGTGTCGTACAACTGCAGGTGTAGGCTCTGCCAACCAGCCAAGTCACATGGGCCTCTTGAGATTTCTCCGTTGCTCCACAACAGTGAGGGTGGACTATGCTCACACCAAACAAGGGGGCATTTGGTGATCACGCAAATGCATGAATGTTTATTCACCCTGACGTGTCCACTTATTAAAAGGAGGCTGCTGGATTGCTGGCAGATGGACTGACAAAGGGATTGAGCTCCCCTAAATCCTGCTTCCTAAGCACAAGTGAGTTCCTGTGCTCTGTGAGCCCAGCACAGCTGGGCAATGGGATGCACAGACACCCCCTCCTCTGCGACACCACCCACTCACCACAGTTCGGATGCCATATTGCTTTTCCACCTTTTCCTTCAGCTGTTTGAAGCAGGCTTCCATCCTCTCGTGGAACGGCCTCAGGGCTTCCGTGACTTTTTCTCCATGAATCCTGATCCCTTCTGCCAAAAATGGAATCTGTAAAACATAGAAGTTGCGTCCCTTACGTCTAGGATCATGGTCTAGGGAAAGCAACGCACACCGTGGAAGGTGCAGCTGTGCAAAATGCATCTGCTTTGGTTCCACGTCAAGCGGGCTGATTAAACTCATCAGCAGGCATATTGCCCCCGAAGACCAAAATGCTTAAACAAAATCACTTGTGTTCTGGATTGGATGCATGTGGTGTGGTTGCGCCCCACACCACGGCCACTCAATTACTTTCCCAGAATGGACTCACCTGTGCTTTGCACTTGAGTTTGGAGAGAGCTACACTTTGAATTTGTTTAGATGGAACTTGTTCTATTAGCAAAGGGTCATGTCAGAGTGCAAACACTTTTTTTAGCTAAGAATATTACCTTTATAGGCAATTGAGAACCCTATTCCACAACGTAATGACATGTGATCTACAGTCCTGAAGAATATTCTTATTTGGAAAGGAAAACCAAATTTATTCTCCCTTAAGACTAAAAATAATCATTTCTCTGCCGACACTGCTGTCACAAAATATCCATGCCAACGCTTCACTTCCGAGTGTGGAGATGTAGCTGACCTTTAAACGTGTCGTAAGAGAGACGTTTTCATTCCCCCAGCTGCAGAGACCCACCAGAGCCACTGCTGTTGGGGGTGGGTGTAGCAAAGGCTCCCTTTCTGCCTCTGGCTGACTTCCCCCACAAGGCTTGGACTGCAAGTTAGACATTCTTCAACGCAATCAAGCTAAGAGGCTTCCTCTTAATAATTTATAATTAAATCAAAATATGATTAAAAACAGATTTTCCTAATAGGACAGAACACCAATCTAAATGAGCAGATTTATTAGTAAGAAGGATAATAAGTACACAATTGAATTTCATGTGAACAAATTCAAGAAATCTTATCAAGATGAATCAACGCATAAAATGTATTTGGTTGCCATTTATAGCGCGCAGCTGCTGCCTCTCTTGGTACTCCAGGAAAGGAGGGAATCAGCGAGCGCTCTCCTGTGTTTACAGCCCCCCCAGCCTGCTCTCAGGCTGCACTGACACCAAAGTTTGTTTTGCTGACATTTGGGCCCAAACCCAAGGCACATGCCACTGATCCCCTTCTGCCCAGTTACAGCCAAAGGACAGTGTGCAGGTGAGGTTTCAAAATAGACGGGACATTTTAATATTCCATAGGAATTACTCGTGCAGATGGCAGCTTCCCCGGGGCTGGCCGCAGTTTCCTCAGGGCCAACAGGAGGAAAAGCTCACCGTGATCCTTGCGCTTCCTGAGTTCTGTCTTTAGGGATGACAAAGGCTGGGACAACACCTGGTGGGATGGTAAACATGTTGTGTCTATTTCTGGGTGCCAAGGCAGGTAAGTGTGGGGTGCTCTCTCGAGCTGAAAGCACAGCCACCCTAGATACTAAAAGCATTTTTGATTTAGTATGGGTCGTTCTCAAAAGTGCCAAATGTAATCTAATCATTTCTGCTTTTTGTTGTTGGTGGTGGTGGTGGTAGTAGTGTGATAAAACCCTTAGTTAGTCAGATTCTTGACATCAAAAAAGCTGCTTGCTGGACGAGGGTTAAAACCATTTGGTTTAGGTCACGGTCCTGCCTGAATTGTAATTTGGCAGGTGAAACTTACAAGGTGTGAGAATCCATCACTCAAAGCAGTTCCTGACACTGGCTGGAAATAACCTTACAGGATAGGATCCGGCCCCCTGTTCGATGTCTATTTGGGGCTGAACTGCAGCTGCGATTCTAAAGGAAAGAAACTAAAAAGATGTCCTGTGTAAACGCATTCCAACCTACAAGGTACTTGATATACAAGTAGAAGATACAGACCTAGGGCCTGAAATGGTCTTTGGAGACCCTTTAGTTCAGTGAGGTTCCAACCTGGCTGAACATCAAAATTTTTCAGGCAGATTCCTGGACCTGACTTGCTGTAGGTGGATCCCAGGAATCAGCATTCCTGTAGTTTCTCAGAGCCCAGAGAGGGCAGAGGACTTTCCCAAAATCACACCTCCAGTTCAAGATGAGCCTGTGGCCTGCTCTAAAAAGAGGCCCTCCTGATGGGCGGCATTTGAAGTTTGCTCCTGTCTGTCCCCTGCCCAGATTCATGCCCTGCAAGCAGCACAGAACATTTGGAAACCCCACTTGGTGCTCCAGGAGCACCACCCCTGGCCACGACGGTCACGCTTGTCATCAGCTGGGGATGATGAGTGGGTTCGGTCTTTCATCTTCATACATTTCAAAAGAAAAATATGTACACATCACAGCAGTTTAATATAAGACTGCACGGATTCATCTTTGGACACTCGGCAGGGATGCTCAACAATGACAGCTGTGTTTGGGAAAGACCGAGCTGTGCCTTTTGAGGAAGTGACTCATGACCTGGTGTCAGCTGCAAACCTCAGAGAGGCTCCGCACAGCCTGCACCCGGCTGCAGCCTCCCAGCCAGTGAGAGCAGCAGGTCAGCCCATTCTCGATTTCAGAGACAGCGAGCAGAGCTCAGGAGCTGCCTGGGACTTATTAACTGGGCTTCACAAATGATTTTAGGCATTGAAGAGGCGCTTATTGTATATCGGTGATAAAAACTCTGCAAATGTGTCCTGGGATTCCCAGGAGGAAAACCTCACTCTGCCCTGATAGAGTTTCAGATAAAAAAAAAAAAACCCAAATGAACTAATAAACAAAAAGAGAACAAAGCATTCTGAAACCCCAGACTTCTTATTTTTAATGAACATATAACTCAATTACTAACACTAAGATAGGAGTTTTCAAAACATTTGCAAATGAAAGCAAAATCATACATAATGTTTTGAATATGTATTTTCATCACTTTTTGATTTAATGAAGTTACTAGAAAACTGATTATTTCTTTCAACTTTCCTGTGACCTGCTTTAAAATTCATCCTTTAATATAGTTATTAGGAGTGATGACATAGTGCTGACATAAAGCTGCTCTCTGGGGAACAAATTATTTTCCTCTGTAGGGCTTGAAACTCTTAAAATCCAATTTGCTGTAAAAGCTTACAGGAAAAAAAAATCAATAGAACTTTTGCAGACCAAACTAGTTTTTGTATAGCAATGGTTTTACAGCCTTCAGAAGAATTTTGAATTTTGTAACTTTGATTTCTACAACATCTGAAATGGAATCATTAAAAATTCTAAACTCTCTCCCACTTTTGGAGTAACAGAGGAAAGTGGACCACAAGAGGCTTACGTTCCACGTAGAGAAACCATCGTCGTCAGCCAATGATGTCCCTTCCAGCTGGCTCTGAGGGTTTTTAAATCACAATTTCAAGGCAAACATTTCAAATGCAGACAGATTTGTGACAAAGCCTAATTTCTGTTAAATATATATATATGTATATAAGTACCCACTAGAATTGTGGTTATTAAAACAAAAAAACCCCCAGAAAGTCTTGGTGAGGATGTAAAGCCATTGGAATCATGCATTACAGACGGTGGGAAGGTAAACTGGTGCAGCCATTGCAGAAAGTTTGGCAGGTCCTCAAAAAATTAAACAGAGAATACCACGTGATCCAGCAATTCCAGTTTTGGGTATATACCCCAGAGTATTGGAAGTAGGGACTTAAAAAAGATGTTTGTACACCCATATTCATAGCAGCGTTATTCACACCAACCAAAAGGTTGAAATAACCCAAATGTTCATCAACACATAAATGGACAAACAAAATGTGGTCTCTCCCTGCAATGAAATATGATTCAGCCTGAGAAGGAGTAAAAGTCTGCCATGTGCTACAGCACGGATGGACCCCGAAGACAGGCTCAGTGAAACAGGCCAGACACAAAGGACAGATACCGTATGAGTCCACTTACATGAGGTACTGGAGTGTCAGATTCATGAGACAAAAAGTAGAATGGAGGAGTTATTGTTTAACGAGTGCAAAGTTTCAGTTTGCAAGATGAAAAAATTCTGGAGGTGGATGGTAGTGATGGTTGTACAACCATGGGAATGTACTTAATGCCTCTGAACTGCATGCTTAAAAATGGTTAAAATGGTAAATTTTGCTATATTATCACAATTATAATATACATAATAGACATTATGGACCTATATAAATATAAACACTTAGAATTATAAAAATCTAGTCGCTCTTATACATTTGAACACAAATTCGGAGGACTTGTAACTTGGCTTACAACCAAAGGTCAGCTTTACTCCATCCTAAGAGGTCTCAGTGCCAATGTGCTGATGACGGAGAAGCCACTAAGGTGGGGCCAGAATCGAAATGCCCAGAGATGTCTCCGCAGAGGAACAGCCCTGGCTTGTGCCCGACGAGGCACAGAGAAACCATATAGGATGTCTGAGCCCAACTGGGCGCCTGGGACTGCAGCTCAGCGAAGTGGCACCGGCTGCGATGCCCCCACCGCCCTTGGCTCTCTCTACTCAGCCTGGCGAGACCTCAGGGACAGCAGCCTCCTTGCCTCCCACAGGAGCAAAGGAGGCCTAAAGAAATGAGGTGCCCAGCGTAGCAGCACAAGCGTAGGCCGAGCTCCTAGACGTCCCTGACATGCTCAGGAGGGCTCCGAGAAGCACAGACACATCCACAGGTAACTGACAACCTAACACAAGGCACGCTCTGGAGCTACCTACCCTTTTAAGGCGGTGGCCCTCTAAGAAGACTCAGAAGGCCCCAGGAGCACAAGGTGAAAAACAAAATAATATGCAGAAAAGTACAGCTGGGAAAACACAAATGAGGACACACACCACCCGCTAGAGCCCGTAGCTCCCGGCCTGCACACTCGCCAAGGACGGGGTGGTGGAGCACCTCCCCTGGCGCAGGCCACAGCCCACGGCATCATGGCTCTGAGCTTGCCCTGAGTTCTGTCCTATCCATACCACACTGCTGGATTTTCCAGCAGCAGGAGGAAAGAGGCCTTGTTCGCTTGCAAGAGAGAATTTTCTGGGTGTTCTAATTCATGACTGTAGGCAGCCCGGGAGCTGAGTCGATCACACAGCATGGGTGAGTTTACCCAGGGACAATGGTAGTCACATCCGATCTGACTGCTGTCCTGGCGCCCCCATGCTGGCTGGGCACATGTGCTGAGAGGGCCCCAGGCAGACCTGCGCCAGTGTGGACTGGGCTTTTCTTCCCCTCCAGCCACAAAAGGTTGGCATCTGACACTCTACCTGCCAGGCAATCAGGTCCTTGAGCTTCTCGATCTTTTCGTGGGCCTCGGGGTGCTCCTGCAGGTACCGGTCGGTGAAGAAGGCCTGGTGGAGACAGGGAGAGCCACTCAGTACACCTACTCATCCCACACAGATTCTCACACTTACTGGGCGCCAGGCCCTGGGGATGGAGCCGTGTGTAAAATAGACCCACACAGAGCTCACTCCACACCCTAGTTACCCCCTTCCCAGCACCCAAGGCAAAATAACCAGTAAGGCCAAATACAATAAATGGAGCTAAGGGGCAGCTGGGGGGGCGTGGGGAGGGGGGACCAGAAGCACGCCCAGTCCTTGGAGTCCAGCGAAGCCACGCTGACCTGGATGCTGGGTGGCAGTGGACACAGCCCTCCCAGCTGCTCACATGCCGGGCCTGCCACTCTGCACCTGCCCGACCTGACCTACACCTGAAGGCAACAGAGCATTAAGAAAGCGCCGCCTGTTTGCCCAAGTGCGGTCAACTACCCCGTGCAGCACAGCCCGCTCTGCTGCCAGGCCCTTTCTGTCTCCATTTTTCCTTGTCTAGATCAGAGATCAACAAGCTTTTTTTGAGAAGGGCCAGATGGTGAACATTTTAGGTTTTGTGGAGCGTAAGGGTCTCTGTCACAACTACTCAACGCTGCGACTACTCAACTGTGCTGTTTCAGTATCAGGAAAACGGTCACAGGCAGTAAGTAAATGAATGGGCGTGGCAGTGTTCCAAGAGAACTTCATTTACGAAAACGCAGAGCCCTGGTCTAGACCTCACCCGTGTCCTTCAACTTCTGCCGGTTCCCATCCAGCTAGGATCCAGGGGCACCAGTGGCTGGGCCCCCTCCACTCTCCAAGTGCTGCTCCCTGGGCTAAATACTCCTATGCTTTTGTCTTTAATAATCCCAAGCCTCTTACAAGCCACCCAAGGCCCACTGGCCACAGATAAGCCCCACCCAAGTGGGTCAGTGGGGGCTTCCGGGCTATCAGAGGATGCCCCGGGGAGCTGTGCCCGGGGCCCGGCCTCGACCCTGTGGCACCTGCAGGGCCTGCCTCTGGGTGCTCCTGCCTGGCCTGGGCCAGGTCACTGTGAGACTGAGCAAGGATCAGCAGTGGGATCGTTTCTGGGCTTTGGGGATAGTGTTTGGAATTTTCGGTCAGTCCCGGGGCAGGGTTGTGACGAGCCTTTTCATAGTTTGCGAAGCCCCCCATGACGGCAGGGTCCACGATGCCGTTGAGCAGCATGGAGAGGGGGTTGACAGGGAGGCTGGGGTCGTCCAGGTGCTGCTGCACCATGCTGTCGATCTTGTCGTTCGTCAGCTGCATGGTCTCGATGGCATTCTCCAGGGGGCTGATCTCCACCTGCACAGACAGGACGACAGCATGCATCAGCCCACCCGCCCCAGCTCCTGGGGCCCCACCAGAGGAGCCAGGTTGTGAGGGGGCAGCCTTCGTACTCCCCCAAGCACCTTTCTTGCCAACAGAATTTTCAGGCATGACCACTTATGGCCCAACTGAGAGCAGCTGGCCATTTTGTCACTGTTTCCATAGACAGAAGAAAGATTTTAGGGAATTTGGAGGAATCTAGAGGGAGGCCCAGGCACTTGGGAAGCCCGCTGTCCCCGTCTGGCCACACCCTGCTGTGGCAGCTTCCACGTGTCCTTGTGGGACGGAAGAGCTCTCATCGCCCCAGGGAACGTGGGTACTTCCAACCTGCCCTCAGCAGCCTCATTTGCAAACCTGCCACTGGTCAGTGGGGCCTTCAGCATGAAGGCATGGGACTGACCACACGTCCTCCTCAGCCTCCCCTGCGTCCATCCTCTCAGGCACCTCTGACCTCCTTCTCAGGAGGCCCTCGGGTCCCGGCCAGGCCCAGCCCAGTGCCCACTCTGGCTCAGCCCAAGGCACCAGGGCAACGTGGCTGGGTCTAAGGCAGGCACCACAGTCCTGCCCCCACCCTGGCCTCATTCCAACGGACTCAGCTGCCTCACCCCAGCGGGGCCACAGAGGCCTGGGCCAGGGGTGACCTCATGATAACTTTGATGCTCCCAGAAGAGGCGCGACAGGAAGTGTCTTCAGCACCCAGTAAACAGAGCCTCCTGTTTTCTTGCTGCAGCCTGCGGGGAACTGTGAGGAGGGGGTGGGGGCACAGAGATGAACAGGGATGATGACTCTGTAAATTGCCAAAGCCTAGAGTGACACTCCTCGGTGGCTGTGGAGGAAACAGACACTCACTGACGCGCCCGTCTTGCACTGCTGGAGGGACGACAGTGGAGAAGTCACAGTGTACAGAACGTGGCCGACCATGTGCACCCCGAACAACATGTGTCCTAGCAGTGCTGTCCTGACCCCACACCTTACTCTGTCAGCCTCTAGAACATTCCATCCCAGGTGTACAGCTTCACCAAATGGACCCACCAGGGCAGTATTCCATCTGGACCGGCTGCTAACTCCCCGTCCCTGACCCCACTTGCCGCAGGAAAGACTTGTTCCCTATTTTTATCAAACAAACAGGGTGAGTGCCTGGCCCTACAGAGATCCCATGGGGGCTGGTCCCTGGAGGCACAAGCGGCAGCCACGGGGGTTTGACAGCAGGATTTAGTCCTGCCATTCTGGGATTATTCGGCTTCCAGCCCTCTTAGTTTGTTAAAAATGGCCAACACAGCTGGGGGAGGAACTGCATCCACACAAAAGGTCAGGGCCCTCCACCTCCGCTGGCTCACAGATCCCCGATTACTCGGGGCTTGTGGGCAGAGGCCCGCTGGGAGGATTAGCACCCGCGTGTGTGAAGGGCCTGCTCTTCTGGCGTCTCTCCCGAGTGTAGTAAGCACATCACCAGCTCCAGAGGGCCCTGAAGGGGCCGCATCTTCACCCTGACACCTGACTCCCGACAGCCTTCCATCGATCAGGGCTGTCGGGTGCCAGGGGCTGAGAACAGGAGCTCCCAGGGAGGGGCAGGGAAGAACCCAGGTGCTCCCACCCTGTGGCCCTGCAGGGTGAGGAGTCTGGTGGCTCCTGGGTCCCCTAGAGCGGCCTGGACTCAGGCCAGCATGGGCAAAGGAGAAGGGTGAACACAAAGCAGGGAAGGGAGGTTCCAGCCAAGTCCTGGAGCCAAATAATCAGGTGTTTCAGGGGGACTCTCTGTGCACAAAATGGCAAGCACCAGTCTGGGTGAGATCCTCCCTGGTGAAGACTAAAGACATCGAGACACACAAACAAAAACTTCCGCAGTTCAGTCAGACCTTTTTATACTGCCGATTGCCACAGCCCTGGCATTTCAACAGTCAATAAATCTGCTGACCGACTCTGGTTCATGTAAATGAACGTGTCCGATATAGCTCACCGCAAATGTGAGTTTCATGTAAATTAAACTGTCCTGTAGCAAGGCAAGGCTTAGCTTTGCTGAGAGATGGAAATCATTATTCCTTTACACAGTGCCAGGGAAGGGTATATTCTCAGGCTATTTTTACTTGGAATGAGCAAGTACTATTAATTAAGTTGTTTGTCATGTAAATGGCAATAAAACCATCAGGAAAAGAGATCTTTAAAAAAGTATGTAAATTGGAACTTGTCTTAAACTTTTCATTTAGTTAACAGAAAGAACTGTCAAAACAGCACAGCTATGACTGAATTCAAATATTTTGTAAGAAGAAATGAAATCTTAGTTCTGGTTTTCTTATAAGTTGGAGCTGGTTGTGATGACATAGCATTTCCACTAAAATATCGGTGGGTGAGGAGCCATCAACGCTCCCAGGAACAGCAGGGAGATGACGTGAACTGTGGGACCTGCGGTGTGCGCGCTGGTCACCGTCACGCGAAGGCGAAGAGGGCGCGTCAGACTGTATTAGGGCGGGGAGGGGACAATTCCTTCTTGGGGGCGTCCTTACCATGAAAACGGATTTGACCTCGAACCACCTTAAAATTCCAGGTAATTTATACGCAGTTGTGTATACGGTTCTCTCGATCCACATGTTCTGCAAAGGGAACACACCCAACACTTGTTAGGAGAAGGATGTCGGCAGGTGGACACATCTCCCCAGCGGGATTTATAACTCTGTAGGAACTAGGTCCTCCCTCAGGGAAGGGTTCTGCTGGTGTTCAGCACAGGGCAAGCATGTGCTGAGGTCACGGCTCACAAGCCATGCTCTGCTTAATGGTCACACAGCACACACCAAAGGGCCCTGGTTTCCTAGCCGGTGTTGCCTATCTGCCTGGTATTCGGCAACAAAAATATTACACAGTAGGTGGGCAGGGAAGACGTATATACCTCACAATGAAGGGGCTCCCTCTTCAGCAAATAGATTTTGGAAAGCCTCTAAATTTTATGAGTTTTATGACCATTTTTCTTAGCAAAGGTGCAAATGCATTAAGGAAGACTGGGTTTAAAAAAGTGATCTCTCACATTCTAATAAAATCAGTCAGTATTTTAAGCTTTAAAGTTTAACATAACTAATATATGTTTACATGAGAACATAAAGATATGGAAACAGAAAGGAGAAAAATCACCCACTACCCAAAGATGATAACCTAAACATTTTAGTATCTATTGTTCAAGACTTCTTACTCGGTATGCAAAAGTCTATGTGTGTATATTTAAAATAAAAACACCATTTTCTAATCTGTGTTCTTTGGTAAAACAGTATATTACATATTGTAGGAAATCATTTCAAGCCAATAAACAGAAGTCTGCATCTCTGTAAAGGTTGTGCAGAGAACTCCATCGCAGGGGTAAACTGCCAACCCTTTGTCCGACCTCATCCTTCGGGACATGTAGCTGGCCCTGCTCCACCTCCTGTGCTGCAGGATCCCTGAGCAGCCAACAGCCATCTAGACACAAATCATGGGAGCATGAAATGTCCACAATTCCAGAACACTGGCCTGGATCTTGGAAAGCGCTTATCCCAACCCTCTTAGGTTCCAGAAGAGGAAAGGGGAGGGCCTGGCTGAGGCCTTGGGGACACAGGCAAGGCCTCCAGTATCTCAGGCTGATGGTCCTTTTGCCCCACGGGAACGGCTGCCTCAGGCACTCGCCCTAGAAACAGAAGCACGCTAGCCCTTTAGGGCCACCTCTAGACCAGACCTCTGCTTTCTCTCATGTCAACACCCCCTGGGGGGACGAATGGGCTCCATCCTGGGCTTTAGGCCAGCTGCCGAGAACTCAGGCCCTATCTCGTCTCCCTCCCTGTTGGCTGGCCCCAGCTCTCCAGAGCTGGACCCCTTGCCTGGCTTGGAGGCACTGAGCTGTGACGCTTCGCTCCTGGCCTGGCAGCAGCCCTCCCAGCCCCCTGTCCCGAGCCAGCCTCTGCGGGAGGGCAGGAGCCTGGCTTCCCAAGACTGTAAAACCCCCGTGCTTATGTGGAAGCCCGAGGCTTTGTCAAGCATGGATCAAATCCTGTGGCTTCTGAACGCTTCATCCAAGTGCGCAGACCTAAATGGGGCCATTAGGGGATTTCAGGGCCATTTAGAAGAAGCACAGCCTCCGAGGCTTAGTGCAGCTCAAATGTCAGGAGTCCTGGTTATTCTTAGCTCTGCACTCACCTGGCTGCGCACCCTTTGGCAGGGTGCTTGCCCTCCTTGCGTCTGTTTCTCTAGAAGCTAAGAATATACCTACTTTCCAGATGGGAGAAGTGACAGGGAGATTCATGACCTGCCTATAAATCCTACAGTGCAGAGATACCACATAAATAATAGAATTACTGCTTGTATTGACTGTGACAGATACAGATGGCTCAGGAAGCCACTGCCCTTAGCGTGCTGGGTGTGACCTCCCTCGCTGTTCTAGACAACACCGCGGTGACCAGTCACCAAGTGGGTCCAGGATGCTGGCATTAACCAAGAAATAGGCCTTTCATCTTGAAACAACCGGCCTGTTAGACCTGTAGAACACTTCAGAATTCGCTGACTCCAAGCTCCTCCCAGCTCCTCACTGACACACAAGGAACCTGGCCTCAAGGGCTGGAAGGCACTTCTGCCTCTCCACGGTTCTCTGAGACTCAGTTACAGCCCTGAGATCAGACGACAAAACCTGAGGCATTCCCAGGAGAGTGGGCAGAAGCCGCTCTTTACCTGAGGCAACCCTGCTGAAACTGTTCCAAGCCCCACCTCGCAGGAGCAGGGTGCTAACTCACCTTTGACCCCTGCACCCTCTGATTCCTCCAGACTGCAGTCAAGAGGAAGCTATTCTCAGTAGCACTGGTCCTCCCAGGGGGTCCTCTGGGGCTAATGCCTCCTTGCAATATGGGCCTATATAGGAGGTTTCCAGGCAAGATGAACAGTAACCTTTTTTTGGAGACAGAGTCTCACTCTGTTGCCCGGGCTAGAGTGCCATGGCATCAGCCTAGCTCACAGCAACCTCAAACTCCTGGGCTCAAGCGATCCTTCTGCTTCAGCCTCCCAAGTAGCTGGGACTACAGGCATGCGCCACCATGCCCGGCTAATTTTTTCTATGTATTTTTAGTTGTCCGATCAATTTCTCTATTTTTAGTAGAGACGGGGTCTCGCTCTTGCTCAGGCTGGTTTTGAACTCCTGAGCTAAAACAATCCCCCGCCTCGGCCTCCCAGAGAGCTAGGATTACAGGCATGAGCCACCGCGCCCGGCCAACAGTAACATTTTTAAAAATTGGTTTTTGGTGTCTTTTAAAAGTGGAATCCATGGAATCAGTTTGTATGTATAGTTTTTTAAAAGGCTTTGAGGATCTGTGTTAATATCTCTATTAACTCTAATGCACGGTTTGCAACATGGGATAGCTGTTTAGCAGTATCTGGAAAACTTTTTGGTTGGTTGTCACAACTGGGGAGGTGGTCCTGGCACCTAGTGGGTAGAGGTCAGGGATGCTGCCAAACGTCCTGCGGTGCACAGGACAGGCCCGCCACAGAGAATGGCCATGATGTCGGCAGTGCTGAGGTGGAAACCTTGCTGTCCTGTGCCGTGCCGCGCCGAAGTTCAGGCACTGGGTGCTGGATGCTGAGTGAGCGTCTGGGTCTAGACCCAGTTCATCTCCTGACTGCACTAGGTACCTCGGCACCTCCCAGAGGCCCTCTGTAGCTAGAGATGCTGGCACCTGCTTTCACACCTGGGGCTCACGGAAGACCAACTCAGACACACGCAGGAGGGAAGTGTGCTCCCGGCACAGAAGCACCCAACTTGAATAGCGCCGTCACCCTATTACATATCTTAACGACCTTAGTCGTATCGTTAGTGAAATGTCAATAGTTTCTCTAAATTTGGTGGGGCAATGGGTTAGGATTTCTGCACATCCTATAAAAAGACACTTAGTACCGCCCTGTGGTAGGTAGCCTTTGCCACCACACTTCTCCATAGGCAGTTTTGTTGTTAGTGAAAGGAGTTGTTTTTTGGTTTCTGTTTTGGTGGTTTTTTTGTTTGTTTGTTTTTACCGCAAATTCATTGTCTGGGTTTTTCTCTCCCTTCCGGATTGGCCGAGAATATTCAAATCGCTGGACCTCGTTCACCCTGTAAAAACTGCACAGAGACAGACAAACTGTTAGACACATAACCCGACAAAACAGCCGATTTGCTTTCAGACATGGGGTCTGGCCTCAGAACATGTCATTGTGTCTTACAAAATGCCCCAACCTTGACCTGAAGCCACAGCTTGGCTTCCTCTCCCAGCCAGCCTCGGAGGGAGGCGTTGGCAGGTGCAGAAATCAACTTGAGTTTTTGCCTCCCTGGTGTCCCAGACTCCGGGGAGCAGAGGTGCTGGGAGCAGAACCAGTAAACGCAGAGGAAGGTGAGGCAGAGGAGAGAGAATGAGGCCTTTGTGTTCCATTTATGTGTTTTTTATTTTTAAAAAGGTCTTATATACTTTATTCAGATCTATGAAATGCAGATTTTGCAGCTACCCCAAGAGTACCCATGGACCCTGGATAGCCTGCCCCCCTTGCTGGGGTAAAGGGTGGACTCTGCCTGTATACCTGGGGCAGGCGTGGATGGATCGTTTCTGCCCTGCACTGAAATGCAGACCGGCCCCACATCACAGGGAAATACTGTATCTGGGTATGCTCTACAGGTCACCATTTGCAAATGCTTCTCTCTGAGAAAAATGTTGTAAGCCTTAAAAGGTATGCCTTGCGAGAGCAACCATTTGTAAGTAAACAGGGTCCTAGTTTATCTTCCATTATTGTTGATGAAAGGTCATAGAAATGATGAAAGGTTAAAGAAACCACCAAACTTCAGGATATAAAACCAGATCCTGAAGAATATTAGGCCATCAAAGAGGTTAATTTTTTTTTCACTAGAACATGGATCAAATAGGAGAGAAAATTCTCAACATCAAAGAAACATCTGCCTTGGCAGACGTTTCTACACCACTGCTAAGTCAGGTGCAATTCAAATGAGAGGCACAAAATCTCACTTGAATTTGGACAGTTGACTCTTGAGGTTTAAAAGCCACCCCATAATCCTGTATTATGTAATTGCTGTGCTGTGAGGGTGAAGGGCTCTTCTCTTGTGCATCGCTAGGAGGAAATGCCTGAATCTTTTTTCCCACATCATAAAATGCAAACACTCGAGCCGCACCCGTTTGTATGGACTCAGATTTGCTGGGTATGGGGATGGGCTTGTGCACAGTTGCAGAGCTCAACAGGTCAGGTGCAGTGGCTCATGCCTGTAATTCCATCATTTTGGGAGGCTGAGGCAGAAGGATCACTTGAGACCAGAAGTTCAGACCAGGCTGGACAACACAGTGAGACCCTATCTCTAAACAAACAAACAAACAAACAACAAAAAGCCAGGCATGGTAGCACATGTGAACCATTTGGAGGCTAAGGTGGGAGGATCACTTGAGCCCAGGAGTTTGAGGCTGCAGTGAGCTACGACGAAGTCACTATACTCCAGCCTGGGAGATGAAGCGAGACCCTGTCTCTAAATTTTTTTTTTTTTTTACAAAAAACAGCTCGACAGGGGACTCCACCCGACAGGGTGGGTCTATAAGAAGATCAGACTGCCTCCTCATCCCACCTAAGTTTTTGTTGTCAGTGACCTTGGGGGGGAAGGAATAGCCCCTGCACCCTCCCGGTCCGTGGATCACCTTCTTCCTTCCCTTTCTTGGATGCTCTTCAAAGAGGACAGAAAGAGCATCTGGAAAACTAATCTGAGGATAAAACATCCATCCTTTCAAAGGTGGAATTATTAGCAAGAGATCTGTACCCAGCCTCTTCCCACGCTCATGCTGGGTGAGAAAAATGGGATGATTACCTTACAATCTGCTCTGATACCGGCCTGTGGAACTTAGGGGGCAAATCGAGTTTGGGCTTCACTGTGAAGCACTGAATATCTGAAGGGAAGGGAGTTAAGGACCAATAAGGCACCGTGGACGTCAACCACGAGAAGCCCCCCGAGCACACCCAACCGTCCAGACGAATGGCGTCGTAGCGGTTTCACAGTCCGTGCGGTTGCCTTAAAGGATACGCTGGCCAGGAGAGTTTTTAATATCGTCGCCTGGTGGAGATGTTGTCTTCATTTTCTCAGCGTTTGGAAACTGAGTTAATAGCCGAGCTTCAAAGTCTTCCCGGCGTTCATACTCTTTCCCTCGGTAAATGAAAACTTTTCCCTGGAAACGATGACATTCATTAAAACACGGCACAGAGAGAGGGCTGGGAAAAGTTCACACGCGAGTGCACTGGTCTTCAAACTACGCTTGATGGGTTTTTAAAAAGTGTCATTGAATTTAACTTGTAATTTTTTTTCCTTATAATTGTGTTGGTCTTATTAATCAACTGCATGTGGACATAAGACATGAGTTAACACTGTTTAAGAAGCACTGGACACGACATTACTGAGATCTAGTGATACATTTTAGTCTTGACAGTAACAACCAACCTAATTTAAAAAACTATGAAAAAAACCAAGTCCACAATTGGAGCCTGGTGGTACCGTGGGCATGAGATGGTTAGAAAGGGTTACGATAGCCAGGCAAGTGGATATTATGTGCGTTTTTTTTTTCAGGCAGGTCCTAATTAAGTCGCTTTCATTCTGCCATAAGGAATTTAAGGCAGCATGAGCCTGAGGTGGGGTCTCCGTGCCTGAGCGCCGCCACCCTGAGCTGACTCCTACAAGACACAGCCAAGAGACCGCAGACCCGCAGGGAAAGGGATCCAGACAGAAGCGGGAGGCCAGCAGGCTCTTGGCCTCCCCTGAGTGAGTGACGGGGCGGGTGGATAGCAGGACAGCCCTCACTGCAGTCAGAGCGGTTGGGCGGATCATTATTCATCAACACATGACAAGATAAAATATAGAGAGCTCTTCTTCGAAGGGCTGGATGTGGTCCATCTCAAACGACACTTTTCCCACCTCCATAAATTCCGAGTTGGAGAGTCCACTGGGGGTTGTTACAGATGTCAGGCTAGGCGACTTGGGGCGTGGAGGGGAGGTTAAGTAGGTGAACGTCCTGTCTGGGTGTGACACAGTCACTCTGTAAATATATCTGTAAGGAAAGTTCTTGCAAGAGGTAACAGGTCTCTGTTCCTTCACAGATTCAACAAGTATGTTCTGAATGTCAACTGAGTCACACGAGGGGACCAGTGGGTAGAGAACATAGTGCTGTTGCTGGTTTAGGAAGCTTTCTGCCTCCCCGCACCTGTCCTGCCCATCTTAGAGCTGTCTCACCCTAAGCAAGAACTGCAACAAGGGCAAGACAGCGAGCAGAAGCCACAGGGCACAAAGACAGGAGTCTGGGGGCAAAGCTTTCCATGAGGGACTTGGTTGCATGGATGCACCTGTCATTCCAATCAGTGACATTGGTTAGAGTCTCCTGATTGGCTGGTCCTGAGTCAGCTGCGGCCCTTTTTTATCTGCAGTGATCCTGGACGAGGCCAGAGGCGGGGGGAGAGGGAGAGGCAGACAGAGAGAGAACAGCATTTCGCTGCATGTTTTTACACTTATCTCCTAGAGACTCAGATTGAAGTCAAATTAAAATTTGTCTAATTAATGGATTTCTAAACAAACAGAGATCCTATGGCACTCAATCAATTTATCTCTGCTATGGTCTGAATGTTTGTATCCCCCCCAAAATTTAAATGTTGAAACCTAATAACCAAGGTAACAGTATCAGAAGGTAGAGCCTTTGGGAAGTGATGAGGTCACGAGGGCTCTGTCCTTGTGAATGGAATTAACACCCTTATAAAAGATGCCCAAGATAGTTGCCTTCCCCTTCTGTTCCATGAGAACACGTGGAAGGCACCAAGCATGAGGAACAGGCCCTCACCAGACACTGAATCTACTGGTGCCTTGATCTTGGACTTCCCAACCTCCAGAACTGAGAGTGATAAATTTTTGTTGTTTATAAATTAGTCAGTCCAAGGTATTTTGTTATAGCAGCCCAAATAGACTAAGACAGCCCTCTTCCCTAGACCCATCTTATTCTGAGTTCTTATAAATCACTAAAGAAGAAACAGTTTAAGAACTGATTAATTTTTTTCACTTTATGCTTAGATATGTCTTAAAGTACCATTATGGAAGAAAAAATGTTCTTTTTCTCTAAAAAAATAATGTCAAGCAGAAACCAAAGTAATATGTAGTCTTAATTAGAAATATAAATACACAGTTTGGGTGTCTTATAAAGCTATATAAAGCCACACACTTCAGAAATTCAGTAAGATTTAATGTATAACAAGCTACTATAAAACTACCTGCATTTATTATGCTTTACATTAGAAGAAACACATAATAATAAAAATGTATATAAAGGCTTTAATAGAAAAACACGAGTGAGTTATAGATGAAAACACTAATAACATTTTCTAGAAATGTCAATTACTTTGCATTCTGAAGTCATCTCTTCAAACATGAAAACAAGGGGAAAATGTACATACAGTCAAAGATGTTTACTCCCCGTAAGAACTATAAATATTAATATGAATGCAAAAGACCAGCTCCATTTGTAGAGAAAAACAAAGCAAAAGGGACAGCAAGTCAGTTCTCAGAGGCTGCTCTCTGAGCACGGCATTAAGCACCTAAATATTCTGCCCACTTTTTGGTCACTGCTAATGTCATTGTGAGATTGACCCCTGCTAGGTGATCTGTGAAGCGTAGTAAATATACTGCTTCAGCCCCACAAAATTATTCAGGTGTGGTGGGAAAGTCAGTTCAATATTAATCAAGCCTGGTAAACTCTACTGGTACTTTGCATTTTGTCCTTTTGATGGTGGCGATGACCCAGTGCTGTCCCTGGAGGCTGTAGTGTGTGTGAGCTCCCAGCATGGCCAGGCGGCTACTGGCTCCGGGTTGCTGCCGGGATATCACCCTGCACAGATCAGAGTTGGTGGCCACATATCACAGGCAGATCTCTGTCCACAGGGGCCACACACGCTATTTAACACCCCAGCACAGCATGGGTCTGCCACAGTTGAGGGTCGGTCCCTCTCCCTTTCTTAGAGACACACACTCTCCGGGACACAAACAGGCGTACACACTACTTCAGGCCGTTAGCAACATTAAGTGCCCAACTCTGAGCTCATTCCATTCTTCGGCTTTGTTTTTCATTTAGAGTACAGTTATTTCACATTTCTCCCTACTTTAGAGCTTGTAACTGAACATCCTTTATTCATTTTTTGGAAGGGAAGACTTTGTTCAGAATCTGGGTTTCTGGTCGACCTCTATCTTAGCCACACGGTGAAGGGAAAAGGGGAGGCTGGCCAGCAGCCACCAGGACAGGGCCAGATGCCTCAGCCACCCAGGCAGGACACTGAGCGAGTGGTCAACCACCCTCACCACCTCGGCCAGGCCAGAACCGTGGCTCACTTCTATACAGAGTGACGCGTCCTCCGTGGGGGAATGCTTGCATGCCGTGCCTGCCGGTATGATGAGGTATCTCATGCCACCAGTGACTCCCGTGGGGTTGGAAACACGGGGTCAAAGGAGCACATCTCTGGGACCAGGGAAACCTCCCACCTGGTTTCAAGTGCCCCACACAGCTGTGCTCAAGGCACAGAGCTTCCGCTTCCCCAAAGCTGGAGCAATCACACGTGGGCTTTAATTAATTAATTAAAACAACACACATAAATATCTGAAGGGGAGTCCTTTTCAGGAAAATCAGGTAGAAAGGTTTTATGCAACCAAAGCGAACATTATCCGCCCCTCTCTGGCACTGCAGACTGACCACAGAGCCATGAGTGTGTAGAGAGAGAGACTTTCCAGATCATACGAAGTCCCTGTCCTTCCTCAACTGGGGAAGGGACCTCTCTGCCGAGCGGCAACCTTGGCTTGGACTGGGCAGAACCAACACTTACCCGCAGGAACGTGGGGAGTCCCTGTCCATAGTAGCCAACGGCAAAATAGTCAGGCTTGGGTCTTACCACTTTGACGATGTTTTCATAAAACTGAGCCTGTTTTTTCTGGAAGGAAGAAAGAAAATGTGTTTCAGGTTCGAGTAGGGTATTTGAGTAATCATTCTTCTGGACTCTTCCTGGGGGGTCTGTAAGCCTTGGCAACCCTTGCAGGGTGGGAGCGTGAGAGGGCGGGAGCAGGGTCCTGAGGCATGCACCTGAATACTCCCACCACGTAGCTTCGACGTTACCTTCCACTCACCCTCCGTCATTCAGCAAGGGAAGCTGAACACACGAGCCACATTCAGCAACCAGTTGTGATCTACTGGTGTTTTCAATAAGCAAAGAGGTGCCACGGAAGTGGTTTTCCTTCTTGGCTGGCCCATAGGATTTGTAAAATGGGATGGATCGGATACTGGGATAGGTTAAAGAAGAATTTAAAAGGACAGAATTGTTCTGCTCTAATTTAATGGCAAACATCACAACACCATCAAGGCGATATGCTGAATACGAAATGACATAGCTGAGGAGGCAGTGACTGGGGACTTGCAGAGCTTCCGTGGCAGCAGAAAGTTCTAGCTCCTCTCTGCCCATCCCCTCTCGTAGAGGGGTCAGTTTTAAACTAGGGGAGACTCTCAGAGACTCCTGGGCTGTCAAGACCACTGAGTACAAGATCAGCTCTTGTTTATGGACAATCCATTCCTAGAAGTGTTGGAGTTTGATTGTAAGAGCTAATTTGGGAATAAAAAGTGAATATTCATGGGGCAGAACCAACCAGAAAATAAACTGAAATCATCTCCCTGGATAAAATGGAGGAACACGCCAAGGCCATAGAATGCCTGAGGTGAATCCCAACATTAAAATGGAAGGAGAAATTCCAGAAAAACAAGCTGAGATTGCCTGTGTGCACATAAATGAAAAGAAATAAAGACCTACCAGCAATTCGCTGAGTTGCTCGTAATCAAACATTTCGTTTTCATACTGTTCGGCCAGTTCCTTGCCCAAGGCAATGGCCTCCTCCCACATCTACAGTGAAAGTAAAGAAAAGAGAGAAATAGAAACCCAAACCTGAATTGCACAGAGTAAAAAGTGACACAAATCATCATAACAGAACAATTTAGAAATGCGTTTGATTAATGGAAACACTACGGAAATAATGTTGGAAAAACACAAATATTTTCTAGAGGCTCCTGTGCGTTGGTTCATGACCTGGCATCAGCCGGCTAAACCCCTGGCCCATCAGTCCCAGCGGCCCCCGGCCAGGGTCAGAGCGGTCTGTCCAGCATCCTCACTAGCTCCTCACCATCCTGCCGCAGATGTGGCCCCGAAGCCCCCCGTCAGTGCAGCCTGGGAGCCAGGGAGAAGGAAGTGCAGAGCAAGGGGAGGCTCGAGGAGCATTTATGTAGAAACTGGGGGCTCCCAACTTGGCTACTTTTCCAAATCGCCCCCTTAGTAAACACTATGTTGAAAATCATCAACTGTCAGAAAGATCAGGCTATATTTCAATTCTAAATTAAAGCTTGCAAGAAGTTTGTTTTATGCGTGCAAATATGCTGTAGATGTCAAGCCTGCTAGCATTTTGAAAAGGGGAACTCTGTCTGGTAAATAATTTGAAAGTGCCTTTCCAAGGAACTGATTTTTTAAAACACTGATAAACTTTTGACACATGTGGAATAATTTGTGATATATAATAGGCCTGAATTTCCCTTATTTTCCTCAGGAAAAATCAAATAAAGTGGATAACTTGAGAAAAACAGAATATTTGGAGGAACCACTTCCTCCAGGAAGCCTTCCTGGCTGTCCTCCACTTTCCTCCTTTGTGCTCCCACAACGATCCGGGATCCTGGCACTTTAGGACCTTTGGTAATGCACTGAAACCGGAATGTTCTTTCCTGCCCTTGAGGGCACCGGCTGGGCACCTCCAGTCTGCAAAACTGCTGAACCTCAGCCCAGGGCCTTGCAACCAGGCCTAGTGAACAGAACTGAAGGTGGCTGATTTGAACAGAGCTTCCTCCCATCACAGACTGTGTTCCCAGCCATGAATCACCCACTTCTCTGCCACCATCCTCACAGCTTGGCAGCACCAATCCTTGGTGTGAGCTATGTGTTCCTGCCAGAACTTGGACTGCTGGGACACTAAAGACATACTGGGGTGCATCACCATCCCCACGAGGGCAGCAACAACTGCCACAGCAGCAAGAGGCACTTACAGCTTTTAGCTTTTTCCAACTTTCTCTATGTCCAGCCACCTGCATTCTCCTCAAGCCCTTCAATCACTTTGTCAGGTGCATATCTTCATTATACCCATTTTGCAGAAAAGGAAGGTGAGGATCAGACAGGTTAAGTAACTTGTCCAAGAGCACACAGCGGGTAAATGGTGGACATGGCCCAGCTTGGCCTTTTTCCAAAGTTCTTGCTTTCGATGATATGACCATGGATTCTGAAAGATTCAAGACTGGTCCCCAACTCCAGGTTCCCAGAGGAGATATTGGCAGCCAGGCCCCAAGCCTGTGCCATCCTTGGCAGCGAACCCCTGCCGGCCCGCTAGTCTTTGCCTTTTCCTAGAGGATGGCCCCACTGAAGCCGACTTACCACTGAATTACCCAGTAAACTTAAGAACACTGTTTTACTTAAGTGGTCCCCAAATGCTCTTGTCATAGTTACTACTTAAAGAAACCAACTGCTATTTTTGATGAGAAAGAACTTATTCTGGAGTAAGAGTTGTATTTTAATACTTTGAATAACAAAATAAAAATAACCCGCAAAGTAGAAAAAGATTTCTGAGACAGGAGCAGTGTTCAGTGAGGGGAGCAGGTGGCCAAGATGTCCTGCCCACAGCCACACTCTGGTGCTTGTTCAGCTCCCAGAACCCCCAATCTGTTCCCCCGTCCTGCCGAAGGGTTAAAGTTGCCCCACATTCTTTGAACAACTCAATCTGCTGCTCTAAATCTTACTTACGTCCTTTGCCGGAGCCCAGGCTCACATGTCTAGAAAGGGAGAACTTCTCTCACTTTTAATGTATTTTTAAAGCTCGGGACCAGTCCCTCCCTCAGCATATTTCCATTTCAAAGAAAACATTACCTTTACTGGCAGGTCTCTTTCACCGGATTTTCCTTTAGTTTCCTGCAAGCTAATGCTCACTCTCTAGGATGTTAGGGCTTCCAATTCCTTCCTGAGTAAAAGCTTAATCTGTCTTTATCCTAAATGACAGATTAGATACTTCAGATACATATCAAAAGTAATTGTTTTTAAAAGAAATACAAGCCTTGAATAAACATCTTATCTTACTCGGCCCGAGGTTACATGGTTGTATTTTCTATAAATATATATCCCCCAATCCCTCCAGCATGTTTGAAAGGCTCCTGCATAGAGGAGATTGTCATCTACTTTTAATTGGATGGGGCTCTAAGGAGAATGTGGGCAATTCATATTTCCAACGTGAACATCCTGAAAAATATTTCAGTGCCAGAGAAAAACCAGATTCAATATGATCTAGGAACACATTATCTCAGTGAAAGAATCCTTTTAACCTCTGCGACTGAACGCCCGGGCTGGGCTCCGTTCTCAGAGGCGCTGCAGGCTGATGAGGTTGACCACACACCCAAATAAAAAAGCCCCAGATCAGCAGACGACTTCATTTTCTGATTCGAAACACTTAATCCAATTTATGGCATTCTTGCAATCAGTAGTTTACTTGCTGCGTGGAGCACATTCTTCCCACCCTGCGGAGGATTTTAGCCACATTCTCCTCGAGAGGATAATCTCTTCCTGTCTTTCTGACCCTGGATTTCCAAAGTCTCATTTCTTCAAGTTCCGCAAATAGAAAACTTTTTTTTTCTGATGAAACTCCTTCCTTAGTTCCAAGACAGAAGTGGCTGCGGAGAAGGTAGCGGGTATTGATTTCTCACGGAGACCCATGAGGTGATGACGGACGACTCAGGTAGGATGAGAACATCGATCTCACAGGACAAGAGCACCCCGCTCCGCTAATGAAAAGAAAGGCGCCAGCCGGGACAGCTGTTCCCTACTCGTAATTCAGGCCGAGATGACTCACCAGGATATCGGTGGGTGACTCCCATTTAATTTGTTGACTAGCTGTAAATAACTCACCAGTGAAGGTGTTTTATGGGATACTTGAATTTCAGCCATTCTTCCAAACTTCATCTGTTTTTCCCGGCAGTTACGGGGAAGAGTCAAACTTAATTACCCTCCAAATTTCCAAAGTCCCACATAGCTCTTTGACACTGACATGGATAAAATCCACAGTGTAGAAGAATCCAGAACTCTGGCTGAGATCCCTCAGCACCACAGGGGCTCAGGAGGCCAAGGACCAGGATGAGGCCTTGTTTAGTCACTCCTTTGCTCGACAAGCGCTGACAGTGAGAGCATCTGCCCAGTCCCTCCAGGGCGAGAGGCTGGCATACCCGGGTAAGATGTGTGTCACGAGGAAGACTGTGGTGGCTCCAAGGGCTGTGACCCAGCTGACAGGGAGCCCAGCGAGTCTCAGGGTTGCCCCCAACCACTCCTTACAGAATGCACCTCCACTGTTCCCAGGCCCCTCGCTTTTTCCCTGAACCAAGCCCCATCCTTGGTCCTTCTGGGGTTCTCAAGTGAATTCGACTGATCTGAGCAAAGGATCGACTTTTTGCAAAGACCCTTCTGAAGACAGAGTCAGGCCTGACTCCCCCAGCTGCAGTAATGAAATATTCTCTCTGTGGTCTGCAGCTCACAGCTGACGGACCTTGCAGTAGCAATGCTACCCTCTCCCCAGGTGCGTGCAAGATGGAGCCAGCCACCCGAGGAATGGGGTCAGGAATCACTGCCTGAATTATACAAGAATCACTGGAATCACTGCCCGAGTTATATAGGAGTCACTGCCCGAGTTATAGAAGAATCACTAGAATCACTGCCTGAGTTATATAGGAATCACTGCCTATGGTATACAGGAGTCACTGCCTGAGTTATAGAGGAATCACTGTGTTATAGAGGAATCATTGGAATCACTGCTCAAGTTATATAGGAATCACTGCCCATTGAACTCCTGTTCATCAACATAGCTTCTTTTTCCCCACGGCAATTATTTATTAGTCAAAACAGAAAACTACTTGCTCAGCTTTTAATGCCCTGGAAGAAAAAGTGAGGAAGGAAATTTTTTGAAAAAAAATAAGAAAATTTTCATTCTTTCTTTAGCCCAGGACCTCTGTAATTCTGCAAAGGACGACCTTGAAAAGCCTAAAGCAGGCAGCGAAAGGTACGGTTGCCTCTTGCTAGGCCCTTTAATTGGAAGGCAAGGGGACGCTGTCTCCTCTCCTTCATTGCACAGGTAACCCCTGGGGGCCTCGGAGGGAGGGGCCACCCGGGAGAAGGGCGGAGAGAGACAGGAAAAGCAAGGACAGACAGCTCTTTGGGGAGTGCTGGAGAAAGAAGAGGAGAAACAGGCAGTTGCTGGACAGGGGAGCCGGAACAAGAGAGAACTTTCCTTAAAGATGGGAGAGACAATGGCGTGGCCGTAGGCGAGCAGGGATTAGCCAACAGAGAACAAAGTGTGAACGCTGCAAGGGGAGAGGGCAGCTGTGCTGGCGAGAAGTCGTGCAACCGGGGCAGGGGCCCAAGCAGAGGAGCCGCACACACGGGTGGGCGTGCGGGGAGTCTGACCCTTGGGCCAGTCCGCAAAGCCAGGGTCGTGGCTAGTTGGAAAGCTTGTTCCTTTTAAAAAGAATGAACAAAGGACATCCAACTGAAGAGCTATCTTTTATTCCCCTGTTGCAGTGGGAATTCATCTCTTCCTCAATACTCAGGCCATTCACAGTCTTGGAGTCCACCTTGCGCAGCCTTCTCATTCCACCACGAGGATGGGCCGCCGTCTGCTCTGGGTCTCTCCCTGCTCAGCCCCCTGCTGAGCACAACGTCCTCACTGACCACCGTTGCCTGGCCTCTGTGTGCTTCCACTTTTCTCTCTGCTGCCAACTCCTGTTATGTGTTAATTTGCTAGGATTGCCGTGCAAATGACCAGAAGCTGGGAGGCT